TTGATTGCGTTCAAAATACGCAGGAATATAAAACAAAGCAGTGGTTGTCACGCTAAAGGGTCCAGCTGCTTAAGAGGTGTCAAATTATTGTACCTCAGCTGGATACATCGGTGTTGGAAGCCAGGGGGTGAGAAAAGAGCCAAACCCAGCAGACTTTGGCACATTTGTCCTTTACCGCTGGCACGGATGAGCCACGCTGTGAGGCTTCAGAGCATCGATAGGCCCCCGGTGTTTTACTACCCAAAACTATGAGCTGCTACAAGAGCCGAACCATCAAGACTACCCCCTGGAAGGACAGTAAACATGACGACAAGTGCTTTTTCATATGGTGCACCTCCTAGTTCACTGACTGATGTAGGTCCAGCTAAAGAGGAGTCCATTCAGGCAGTGAGGGAGTATGAGGCCTAAAAGTTTCAGCTTTCAAGATTGAATAAATAAGATCGTATCAGTTGAAGTACCAGGTTTTTGGGAATGTGTCCTGGCTGCAGTAGACACAGAGCTGAGAGCTATTACTTAAAATAACTTGACACCAGAAAGACCAGTAAGGAAATTACAAACACAGTCATGTCAGTTTGTGGAAGCACCTCACACAAAGGTCCCCAAAGAGGTCTCTTGTTGTCAGCTTTTATAAAATCCACTCCCTTTTCTTTTTCGGTACTTAATTGAAAATTGAGCTCGAGTCCTGCCAACAATTGCAATAAAATGCTGAATGCACTGAGCTGTTGGCATGTTCACTGATCTGGCACTTGCACGTAGGAGTGCTGCTGAGTCTCTGTTGATTGTCTACTTCTCATTCATTAGGTTATGGTTAATGCTGACGCTCCCGAATGGTGACTCCTTGCTCGAGTGAGCTCAGAGCCCAGGTATCCGGGAAAGAGAGGAAACAGTTGAGGGGCATGGCGGTGTCACAACCGACACATCACAGGAGCCTTTTGAGAAGTCTTTGGCGCTTCCCATACTGGTCCAGTACCAGTGTTGAGCCATGTGGACAGAAAGACTAAGCAGAGGCAGGTCTGTTGAGAGCGTCAGCCAAGTTAAGCACGGAAATATTTCTTTCCTGTTAACTCAAGAGTCTGGCAGTCACCTGTGTGAGGTTGCCCTCTCTTTTAGTCGCGAGCCATCGGCCATTCGGTTCAGCCGTGTCAGGAACATTTTAAAAAAGGCCTACCTGGTGATGAACCATGAGTAAAGTCAAATATGTGGTTTCTCAGATCTTACAGATCAAATGGGTGTTTTGACACTATATTGCACTGCGTGTCATTGTCTCTTAACTAAGAAAATTTTCACTTTGCTGGTTGTGTTGACTAAATGAAATTCCCTTAGTTGTCCAAGTATAAAGTTGCAATGAGTTCATGAAGGCCCTGTCGTGGAGGAGCCAGGTCTGTGCTTCGGAACAGTGGATACATTTCTGTTTGGGCAAGGCTGGTGATTGTGTTTGGCGCACAGTAGCTCACTAGGACGTGCTCTCCTTTAACCTTAAATTGTTTTTTTAGGCCACTTGGGGGCAGCGGAAACAAGTTGAAAACGCACCATTAACATCACCTTTTAAAGCTTATTTGGGAAAATTGTAGGCAACCAGCTGCTTATTTACATATCCAGCAGATATGGAACAACATTAACATTCATTTGGAGTTGTGTTGCAGGCCGTGTGATAAATGTAAGTGCAGTATCTGCTCTCCTTTTAACTCCTGAAGGAAATATGTGGTTCTTTAGCTGCTAAATGCCCCACTATATTCACAGGCTAGTTGGTAACTTTTGTCTGCCTGCTGTTTGGTGCTGAAAGTTAGTGTACAGTGGGTTTTTATAGCTGTTTTGCTGACAACAGATGCCTATTACAGCTGAAAATGATGGTATGAGAGCAGTGAGTTGCATGCCATAAAACCCAAAACAATAACCTGAAAGATGTCAAAACTGCAGTTATAATTCTGTGTGGGTTAATCGCTACGAGCAGCCCTTTCCACGTTACACGCCATCATTTGATTCATTGGTAATATTAAAATATTGATTATATCAGCTTAAACTATGCACACAGGGTTCGTGATCTCCTGAACTGTGAAAGATCTACATCAATGAAGCTCCTTTGCAATACACTGCATTTGCCGTGGTCACCAACTATTGCAAACACTTTCATTGGCCCTAACAGATCAAATTTGCCTCGACCCTTTTATGTCAGTGCATTATATTCAGAGGAGATGGATGACCTACATTAAGTTTTCCCCCCAATGATCCAACATGGCACCCGTGCCTCATTTAGACTTAATAGAAATACTTCATTCCCTACGCGAAAGTTCACACACAGTAGTGTTTGCCTTAAGTTCAGTGAGGACATTAGCAAGTGTGTCTGTGTGCTCAATGGCCAAATAAAACGGGAAAAGCCCAAATCATAATAATAATAATACAAATATATGGAGGAGTACTTATGATACAAACAGGCAGGGGGCCAAATGGGCATCAACAAGGGCCAGAGAGGCAGTCTCATTTTTCCTTCTGACAGAAATGTCTACAACTAAGCATGTGTCCTTTAAGTAGAGTTTGGATTGTCAACAGATGAAAATATACTGTGTGAGCACTACTAGATGGCTGTTCCTAGGCCAGGACACACAAATCTCAGCTCCTGTGAAATACACTGCTCCTGCTGCCCGTATCCTACCCTCCTTTTTGCACAGGAAACTGCCCAGGACTTGATCTTAATTAGTTTGGCAGTGAGTAATAACATCCTCTGAGGATTAGAGATTGTTGTGATAGATTAGTGCAGGAAAACTGACCTTTAAGTACTGGATGGTACAACAAAATGCTCCAGTAATGTAAAAATCTTAAAACTTAGAATTTTGTAAAAGAAAATAAACTTTTATAAAAATGAATTATATATACAGCGGGCTGTTTGGTAATTAAATAAATCTGGACCGAGCAACAGATGTATACCCATGAGATGACAGCACTGTGATTGTACGTCGTGCTGAAATTTCAGAACTTTGATTAATATTACGAGTATGTGTTTTGTTGTGTCAGTGGAATTGGATCAGACATTCTCTGGGTGGTAAAGGTTGACTTTTCCTAAGCTACTTCTGTGGTTGGCTCAATTGGGATTTAGAAATGCTTAAAATCCAAGATAAACTCGACCTCGACTCTGAGTCTGTGTTCAACATTTTTCTAAGTGATTAGAAATCCACTTTAAAACCCGGATGTTTGAGTTTGTGTTGAGATGTGCCGTCTTTTCCAAACACTGCGTAACATTTAATAATTTAATTGTCAGTACAATTTAACTAACTGTGCCTGAACTTAGGACTTTCTTTTTACCATAAATTACTTTTTCTCTTTCTCCTGCCAATTGTTTCATTTGTTCATGTGTTCTCTGGATTTATTTTACAATCACGTGTCAAGAAAAGTCGTGAATTATACTGACTGGTCGACATCAGGTGGAGCAATTCCATTTTAAATGAACTCATTCTGAAAATGTGAATGTTGACGATTAAAGAGCAGACTTTGATCATTTTTCAGAGGCCACGACTGTTATGCTTAAAGAGGCACTCTCTATGATTCTTGGCCTATGCCTTATTTTCTGTATAAATTACATACAAAGAAAGCTTAAGAGGTGTTTCTCAGGGGGCTCAACATTTTTATGCCTACACTCCACTGGCAAATGCACTATGGAAAAGCTGAACTATGCTTGAAGTGCTGTGTTTTAGTGTGGTTTGGAGCTGAGGTGGGGATCAATTGCTTGGTTTCTTCAGCAGCATCCCAGAAAGCCCCAGAGAGGCAGGTCTGAAGGACAGGTGGGCAGCCACACAGTGCCACCTCAAACCACTGTCCCCCGGGCCGGAGGGTGGGAGGGGGGATCTTACCAGAGTTAGAGACCAGCATGCCCAGAGACCCAAAACAGGCAGGAGGTGGTCAAACACTGCCATGTCTGTGTGTGAGTTTGTAAGCTGCAACTTGTAATTATTTTTCCTTATTGATTCGTCTGTTGATTATTTGTTTCGGTTAATAATTTAGTCTAAAAAAATGAAATATGTGCCTCTCTCCAGACTTCTGAAGTGTTGTCCACATCTCATATTTGTTTAATAATTTAGTAAGATGAAACAAATGTGTTGAAGGAGGCTAGAAGAAAGAGATTATTTGACACAGTCAACACTGAGGCCTTATGCTTGTCTGTTGTTTGCCCCTTGCGCCCTTCATTTTATAATTTTACTTTTGACATATAAGATTGTGTCTGACCACCAAGGTCCCTCATATCTTCTGTGCAGGGACATTTAGCTGTTCCAAGATCAAGGCTGAAAACTAATGGTGATTGATGCCATTGTTACATGCAACATCTCAGAGAAGCCAAATCAGTGCACAGGTCTATAAACACATCAGAAAACTAACTTGCACACTAAATTCTCCTTCTGCCCCTTTTTATCCACATATTATTCCATTTTCTTCCTCCCATAAAGACTTATATATAACTTCTGTCCTATATAACTTACTGGCTTGATGTTGCTGAACATGAAACCTCAAATAAGACTAAAGCCATGTTTCTTTTGAATAATGGGGCTCATGCTGCCCTCTTCTGTTACGGAGGCGGACTTCATCTAAATGTTTTAAAGATTCGCTCACTGACTCATTATGCAATATAAAAAAAAAAACACTGGTGACACTGTGGTTATTGTTATTAACTTCTAACCATTAAATCATGCCACAAACACGGAAGACGGTGAAACTACATCTGTATAACTGTGAGCGCCAGTGCGAATACACGGCCATTAACATTGTTCTCCCGCCACACAATACGACTCAAATTATTTACTTAAACTCGCCTGTGTCCACCTGTTAGCAACAACCAGGTCAATAACACGGTTAAATTGAAACAAACGAGTGAATATCGTCGACAGGATTAACGTGAAGTCGTTATCTAAAACACACAGCCTGCGGTTTCTTTGTGGCGGCGGCCTGCGAGCGTTCCATTCATAGCCGGCCAATCAGAGCGCGGCTCACTGCGGCGTTCCAACCAATAGCGGCGCCGGTTGTTGTTTGGCCCTGTTGCGTCCGCGGACAGACGGTGGCAAGTGGACCGGTTTTGAAGCTAAGCTAATTCAGTCATATTGCAGCTAGGTATTTAGTGACTTTTTGTTTGGTTCCGCTCGCAGCACAGGCGCGTATCTGTTTTCGAAAAATCGGAGCTACCTGCGGGTATTTTATCCGCTGGGCTAAGACTGAAAACGGGGCATTAATTTGAGTAAATCCATTCTGTCCTGCTAGCTGAATTGGCAGCGGGTTAGGCGCCAGTCGTGTTTGACAACAGCGCTATTCGGTCACGTTCCCGGTGTTGTTGTTTCTAGCTGCTGAGTGAACGCGCTAATTTCCGTTAGGTAAAAGCGGCAAATTAAAAACCATAATAAGGGGAAAAAAAAAAAAAACATAAAGAAAAACAAAGGCGAAAAGCTTAAGATAGCTTTAAAAAAAAAAACAAAAGAAGAAAGTTAAACATGGCAGAATTCCTCGAAGATCCGTCGGTTCTCACGAAAGATAAGCTGAAGACTGAGCTCGCCGCCAACAATGTGCCACTTCCCAGCGGAGAGCATAAAAAAGAAGTGTATGTGCAGCTGTATCTGAAGAACTTAACCGTACTGAACAACAAGAACAGTCCGCCTGCAGACACTTTCTCCAGCGATGAAGAGTTGCCTGCTCCCGTGGTGTCCAACAAAAGTCGATCTGGAAGAGTACGTTTGTTATTTATTTGTGTGTAGCTGGGATGTCTGACTGGATTTATGGCTCCAGGGGTTAGTTGTGCTTTTTTTTGTGTGTGTGTGTGTGATGTGTGATTTTAAATCTGTGTGCAGAAAGCTACCAAAAAGACAGACAAGCCTCGTTCAGAGGAAGTGGAGGTGACAGAGCTCACCGATGAAGATTTAAAACAACAGCTGGCCAAACGTGGTGTGGAATCGGGACCCATTGTTGGTGAGTGTCTGGAGGGCTTTCTCAGGATAATGTGGGGGAAAGAAATGGTGGTTTTTGTTTTGTTTCAACATGAGAAATAATTTTATATTTAAGTGTAATATGCAAAGAAATTAGATTACAGATTAGATACATTTATTTATATATTTGTTCATTTAGAACAACAAAGCAGATTTAAGAAAATGTATGTTTCCACTTTTGGTTTAACCCAATTCCCTTATTAATTATTTATTTATTTATTTATTGCAAATCATTTTCATTTATTTACTTTTTCCCATAAACATTTTTGCTATAACAGTGCAGCAAATTCTTGTTACTTATTGACCGGCATAAATGATCTATAAGTTATGTTTTACTTATAGAAGTTTTACTTAAGGATGGTACTAAAGTCTAAAGTAGTTATAAAGTCTATCTATCTACAGCCAAGCAGATTTTTCTATCTAGTTTAAACCTTCAAATTAGCTCTTAAGCAAAACTTTGATATGGATATTTGCAAATATTGCTCCCTGAAGCAGTGCTACACGTGTCCTAAGTAAACATGTTTAAATAATGTGACTTAATTGAACCAACATGTATAAATCCTTCTTGAATTTAAGTATAATTTGTTTATTTATATTTTATTTATCCTTTTTTTTTTTTTTTTTTTTGCCCGTTACTCCCCTCCACTCAGCCTCAACCCGTAAGTTGTATGAGAAGAAGCTGCAGAAGCTTTTGGACCAGCCTCCCGCTGAACCTGAAGCTCCTGCAGACGTCACAGCTCTCCCCAAGGCAGACAGTAACCAGAATGGAAACACAAATTCTGACCAGTACAGCGACAAGGAAGATGGTGAGTTCTGACCACGCATTAATCGTCATCTTTTAAAGTTTAAAATTACTTTCTACGGCAAATAACATAGCCAGAATATGTAAGTATGCCATATAACATGTTTTCTTTTCTTTGGTAAACCTGCTTCTTGCAACAGGTCCCTGATTAAATGTTGTAAACTAACACTTATTACCGTACTGATATCGCCGTGTTTCACTATTGTGTTTACATTATGTGTGTTTTTCAGAGGAGGTTGTTGCCCCTGAACCAGAGCCAGTTCCTGTGGTAGAGAAGCCTGTGAGGAGCAGAGGGAAGGTCCCTGTTACCATCAGAACCAGCAGCAGACGACAAACCAAGGTGAGGCACATTTTCCATTCTCAACTTCGCGGATAGGAGTATATTATACGTTTGTATAAACATAATTTTATTTTGCACTAACAGGTGGTGGAGGAAATTGTTACCGAAGAAACACCTAAGAAGGCTAGTGACAGTGTTGTTGAAGATATCCTTGCCAATGAAATAAGCACACCAACAGGCATCAGGTAAAGTTTCATTTTCTGTGTCATAAACAGCCAAGCACAATCACAATGCACCGCATTTTTTTCATTATCATTATATTCTATTTTGGAAAAACGGATTAACCAAAAGTTTCACTTAAAAAAACACATCCTTGACCTTGGAGACACTAGTTGGATTAAAAAAAAAACTACTAAAACTTACTAGCTTTTTCTCATTTTACATCTTGGATAGCTAAAATAAAGTTAAGAGACGAGGACTGTGTGACTAGAGCTCCTTCAGGGCGGTCTTTGGCATCAGATGTGATGGTCTTCTATTAACAGCTGAGCAAACTAACCTCTGAGGAAGACCATGAGGTGCAGTGGAAAGCTGCAGAAAATCAAAAAATCTAAAATTCATGAAAGTTTGGAAAATGCTTAATTTTAATTGACATGTTTCCGAGGTTAAGAAAATGCTTGAAATTAAATACACTCCTGGAAAAATGTTAAATTTTAAGATAATCGGCTGTTTAATCTAAACAATCGCTCATAAACCAACAATCTTTGTAATATTTTAAATTAAATGATCCCACCGTTGTGTATTCATCCATTCATAGAAGTTCTCTGTTAATTCCTTACTACATAATTAGCAAGCAAGCATTAGATAATCATGATCAAAACATACAATAATAACAGCTGGTAAAATGAACAATGTGACATTGATTTCTGTGATTTATAAAGGAATTTGGTAAACTATTTTTTTTCCCCAATAGAATTTGTGTGACGATAAAGGCTTTGAGTATCTGGAAATGTTTGGTTTATTTACGTTGAAAGTGCTCAAATTTTCTATTTTTTTTAGGTTGTTATTGGACATTTTATTGGAAACTTTACTGACTTGTATTTTTGTATCTTTTAAAGTGCTTAGTTTCACTCTCAAAGAGCCTGAATCTAGTAGGCCGACCATGAGGTCTTCTTTGTGCGTGTGCGCCTATCTTAAGTTTTTATTGTGTTTCCCTGATCAGTGCGACCTGCAGGCGTCCGATCCGAGGTGCAGCTGGCCGACCACTAAAACAAAGTGAATACTGGCTGGATGAGTCCCGTGTGCAGCACACTGTCCACACCGAGAGCCGCTCTTACTCGGAGTCGATCTCCAGAGCGGGCATCGGCGCCTCTTCAAGCAAAGCGCCAGTCCGGCGAGGTTTCCTGTCCGTGTTACTCAAGCTCCTGCTCCTTGTTGCGGTGGGTGGTTCCCTCTACTATGGCTACCAGAACCTGGATGCGGATCAAATCAACACCCTCAAAGGCCTCTGTGACAGCGTCATCGTCCCCGTTCAGGGCGCTGTGAACAACGCGGCCACCTACCTGGGCTTAAGCAGCAGCAGTGCTACAGACAGCGCCGGCAAGTAAAGAACCTCAGCAGTCTCTCGCCATTGCCGATCCCACCTCCCTGCCGCCTGCCACAGCACACCACAACTCAAGCAGTACACTTGGCTCACCTCTTCTTCTTTTGACCTACATGGTTGGACAAAGGACACAGATTTAATTGGAACGATAAACTTTCTCCTCTCTGGACTCCAGCTTTCCTCCCACCACAAGAGGAAACAGTAGCTTCTGGATAACCGTTTTGTGGCAGTCAGAAGAGACTCATTTTATTGATGATTTTAATCTGTGAATTGTTTGTGTCTATGTGTGTATTTAACCCCTCGTATGTAGAAAGGAGTGCAGAATGGAGAGGTCAGTTTATCCATGCATGGTTGTAGTTTTTGAAGGTCATACTGTAGTTTCTAACTCTCTGTGCCAGGTGTTTTTCTGATGGTGAAGTGCCTGGACACTGTTAGCACTTAGTGCCCTCCCATGTTAAAGCACAAAGCAGTGCTACTACTAACACCAGAATGTCTACTTGTCTTTCTGTATACATTTCAAAATTTGCTCTGTAGCTATAGAGTTAGGTAGAGTGATTTGTTATTTCTATGGTGCTCAGGTCAATTCAGCTCAAACTTTTTAATGTGGTCTGTGCTGGGAGGAGACACATGGTGTAATCAGGTCACGTCACTGCATGAGGAAAATCCGCCCACGTTCAGGTCAGATATCAAATGTTTTTTTGTTTTTCTTTCAGTGGCTTGAATCATCGTATATGGGGCTTTTATGATTATGACTGAAATGATTATTCTGGTCACTGAGTTTTACTATCAACGGAGGAAGAAGATCAGTTGTAACTTTTTTAAAATCCTCATCAGTTTATACACAAAATTCTAAAGACACAACTTTTAATCATTGATTATCTACCATTTATTTGACAATGGCTCCTTAAGGAAACTAAAAATTACAGTGTTCGATCATAGATTATTGATTCTGCCAGTGTGCCCATACTGTGAGTTTACATGCTTTGGGTTTTTAGTGGTCTGTTGTGCTTTTTATTTTTTATTTTTTTGAATTAGATTTCTAATCCTTCAGTCCTATATGCAGGATTGGCTGTTGCACTGCACCCACATAGCCCACCTCACTGACTGCATGTGTCCAGACACATCTGCAAAGGAGACACATGGAGAAAGTTCATCCTTTTTGGGACAGTTAATCAGTTTATTCTCTTCAGAACTCTTGACTTCTTCTGCCTGTGCAAATTACCACAATTAAGACAACGAAAGTTACTCTGAAAGGGTTTGTTTACCCGCTGGGGCTGAGCATGCATTCACTGGAGGTGATGTTGGGGGGTGGGAAGATTTGTGGGGCATCTTTGTTTCTATTTTGATATTTTTCTAAAAGTGGTGTGTTCAGCTTTTTATAGCACATTTTAAGGTTACATTTGAAAGCAATATGTAATACATGCAAGTGATACTGTATCTTAATCTGAATCTGACTTAACACAAGTGATTCATCATCAGGCAGCTCCCACAATGGACAGACATGACAAGGGTTATGTGGGTAAGGATTTTTAATCTGTTTATTTATGATAATGTAGGCAGTGTATCATAAAATAAACTTTGCTGTAACAAGATCTTTTTTTTTTCCTTTGTCTTCTGTAGTGGGAATCTTTAATACAATACAAGTAGTATCGCAACACACACATACTCTACATCACTTCTAAATGTTGACAGCAAACTTTAGGACGTCATAACTGAGAATATAATGGCTTATCTTGACAAATTCACATAATCATTATTGGGTATTTATTGTGTTGTATTTGTATTGAATTTAAATGTGTTTAAAAAGTCATTGTAATGTTTATTATTGAGCATTACATTACAGTCTCAAGGAAGTTATAAATCTTCCTTTCCTAAAAATGTTCCTTCTATTCTTGTGTAGGAATGGTAATTGATACAATTCTGCTTATTGGCTCAATTTAAAGATTTCTTCTGTGTGAAGTTTGAACAGAAAAGTAAAAACAGAGTAAAGTTAGAGTTTCTTAATGAAATGGAGCCAAACTTTGGACCGTTTCTTCCTCTCCGCCATGAACAGCATAGTTTGACATTATTGGTTAGCAGGAACTTTTTCATAACTGAGGAATAGCCAGTATGTATTTAATATAAGGCAAACAGCTCATCAGATGTTTGTCTTGTCTGGTCATCCTACTGGTTTTCCCTGCAGTGACTGTGCTCTGAGATTGTGTCTCCACCTGCTGGATTAATGGTGTCTGTGCTTCACTAAGTGCAGCTCAGCACTCAGTGTTCCTCAAGACACTCAGATCCAAGAGTGAGTAAATGACTGAACCTTTTTTAATATATATAACCAGGTGTCTGATAACCAACACACTCAAAATCCATCTGGAGCAGCTCCTTGGCTCTGCAGTCGGAGGTGTTGGAGTCATTCGATGTGGGTTGGGTGGGATGAGGTCTGCATGTTATGGTTAAAACATCTATTGTGATTATTTGGACAGATATTGTGATATGATTCACAATTATTTTCACTGAAAAAACTATTAAAATCATGATGACGTGAAATCTTCAGGGGTCTGTTTTCTTATGTCTAAAGTATAAGATTTGTAAGACAGGGCCTCTCTACAGCACTACTATACTTTATTATAATGATTTCTTGCCACATTTTTATCAAAACAGCTTCTGTGATTTGGATATTGCACTTATTATAATTGTAATTTATTTCATTAATTCATAAATTCTCACAGTGGTATGTGGAAACATATTTATTTCATTTTCTTTATTATTGAACAGGAAGTATGTGTTGCTGTAGGTGAACACTGTACCAGCTGACCGAGGTGACCCTTGGAGTGCCAAACTGAGACTTTGTAGGGGATGGAGAGGCTTAGTCAATTAAATCCAGTAGGCTGCAGCCTGACAGAACAGCAGGAAGAGGAGTAGCCACACAGTACACCACACCAAGGGTGAGTCTCACTGTAGTGTTGGAGAAAGGACAAGGATTACACTCAAAGTAACTGGACCCTCAGGAACAACAGGTGACAACAGCCATGGTTTTCATTCATGGAAATTCTGGATTTTCTTGGATTTTGGTTTGTGGTGCACTTGTCTAACATGTCTAAAGGTTACGTTATCCAACCTTTTCTTTATAAAGTATCAACAGCTGTTTTGTATGTGTATTGCTCTTCATGTTCTTTGTACCCCTTGTTTGCAGATTGCAAATTAAATGTGTTTTATTCATCTCTTTGTCCAGCACATATAAGTGGGTCTGCATACAGTTTTTTATCAGCAGCAGTGGCAGAGAGACAAGAAATTATGTACTAAAGATTATTATTTTAATGGTAATTTGGGTTTCCACTCCTGAGGGGTGTGTAGGTTGTTTCCTTGAAATATAGTTTTATCCTTGTCAAGTAATTACCCAGATACATCATGTAGAAAAATAATTATCAACATGTTTAACACATTATCTCTATAGTAAAGTAGTCCTCCTGAAAGTGACTGTATAAAATGTTTCAGATTGTAGTTTTCAAATGCTTAATGTGTGGTCTGCCACCTGCACCATGTGCCGTCTGTGTTCAAGTTCAAGGGTGATTTAACCTTTCTCAGTCACATACAAACGCAGGTCGCTGCACTGCTGTATTGTCTTTAGGTTTGACATTAAACAGCAGTTCTCTGATGATAATTTGGTTCCTTGATCATTCAGGTACCAACCATGTTTTTCTTTTGCGTTGCTGTCCCCCCCGTGACCTTGCAGCCTAAGCCACCTCATTAACCACTCGTGTTTACATGCTTTGAGTGCACGGCGCTTTCTCCTGGTAATCCAGTTTCACCAATGAATGGACAGTTAACCAGTGCCCTTTTATCTGGAGACATGATTTATTTCAGGACCAGTTCACTGTCATCTTGTGTCACAGTGTAGTTTATTTGCTGAACATCATTGTTAATGTCAAGCAGTAACCTTGCAGACAACAGGAGAGACAATGCAGTGCTGCATGTATTAAAGTATGTATAATCTGACAGCTTCTATAGTAGCTAGATCATACAGAATTAAAATGTCTGCCTGCTGTGATAAAAGTAATGTGTTGTTCTTTAGCGATATCTTATTTGATACGAACTTAATGTTCATCTGTAGTTGAGGTGCAGCAGATGGAGGCAGCGTTAAGGGATTACAGTAACTCCTTTAACAGTCTGCAGTCAGTCAGTCAAGTTCGGCATCCGATTATAGTGCTCCGTCCTCCATTTGGGGAGAAGGGTGGAGGGAGAGGAGAGGAGCTCTGTGCAGCTCCTCAGTCCGGCTCTGAGTCACATGGGCTCTGTGCTAGTGCTGCAGCTGACCGGATACCTGCCTCGACTGTCTGGATTGCAAAGTGACTGTGGGAGGTGTTGTGAATGCAGGGGGTACGCAGCTCTGTTAGAACACACTTTAGGTATCCATTCAGTTTGCCATGCTGATTACATGGTGGTATCTATACCTCACAGTTCGGAGCATCGCAGAGAAATGCAAGTATTGCTGCTGTCTTTGTGCCTGGTTGTGTGTTTTTTCAAGGTGAACTCTGCAGAAGGATAATGTGTGGGACAGGGCTCAGGCAGTGTGCTTTCTTTCTGTTCTTGTAATGGGTGTCAGAGAAGTCTTCCATTAGTGCTTCTGAGACTAAGACTGTCAGGTTTAATTTATAATCTCTACACTACAGAATATAACTCGCTAGGTCCTGAATGCAGTATTTATGAAGTTTGAGCATGCAGCCTGCTTTCTGGATGCAGGACTGTTATCCTCAGTTGTGTCTGTGTGTAATGTTTGTCACTTATATACAGTCAATATGTTTCCTTACCAGAAACACTCTTCTCTTCCTCCTTCTCCCTCTTCTTCCATTTTACACTCTTCAGCACTGAAAATGGCTTCAATCCTGCAGAAACTGATCACCCCGCTGTTCAGTGGTCCTCCAGAGCCCCCCAGGAATAAAGTGACAGTGGTGGGTGTGGGCCAGGTTGGCATGGCCTGTGCTGTCAGCATCCTGCTCAGGGTAAGAGCCCCACTGGTTTTGCCTTTGCTCAGATTACCCTCTTGCCTTCTGGTGTCACAGGAGGGGGTAATACCCTGGTCTAGAATACCTGCTAGACTGAGACCAGATTACTGATCCCCTGGTGTCTGATCTGGCTGTTATCCCTTCACTGTCCTTCATGAGTTTTGGTGCCAGTGACAGAAAAATGTATTTGTCACTGAAAGGGAACATTTAAGCAGATTTCTGTCTGTTTTGTAGTACTAGCAGCAAGTGTACCCTATTGATTGACTCCACTAAGTCACAGAGGTAGTAAGAAGTAAATATACATTCATGATCAGGTGTTGACTTGATCTTTGATTGAGTTTGAAAAATAAGTGGGACTGATCCATCCAATCTTATATTTCATTGAGACAATCCTGTTGTAAAATAATATTATTTCAGTCATTCTGCTTAATTTATTCTCTATATGTAATAGAAGATCATCTGTGTAAAAGCGGTGTAAGCAACATATAATGTGGTCTTATGAGTGAACATCTGATCTTCACAGGAGCTGGTTGATGAACTGGCCCTGGTGGATGTGATGGAGGACAAGCTGAAAGGAGAGATGATGGACCTCCAGCACGGCAGCCTCTTCCTCAAAACACCTAAAATAGTCGCAGACAAAGGTAAGTTTATATCTCAGACACGCCAAGAAAATCAATGATAGAACTGGATCTGAGTTTGATAAGAGTGAGTAGGCATTTGCAGGGTGCAGCAAACTGGCGGACATTGTGCTTGCACCATTTTTGTGGCTATTGGCATAAAAAAAGTCTTACCAGTACCTGAGTTTAGATAGGAATCTGAAAGTGAGGACAGACCTTTCGCCCTCTTAACCATTCATTATGACAATTCTACTCTCAGACTACTCTGTGACAGCAAACTCTCGCATCGTGGTGGTGACAGCTGGAGTCCGTCAGCAGGAGGGAGAGAGCAGGCTCAACCTCGTCCAGAGAAACGTCAACATCTTCAAGCACATCATCCCTCAGATCGTCAGATACAGCCCTGAATGCATCATCATTGTGGTTTCCAACCCAGGTACTGTCTAACACACATTTCTTAAATTTTCTCTCTCACACTTACGTTATTCGCCTTCTAATAACATCTCTTCAACAGTTGATGTTCTGACTTATGTAACCTGGAAACTGAGCGGCCTTCCCAAGCACCGCGTCATCGGCAGCGGCACCAACCTGGACTCGGCACGCTTCCGCTTCCTGATGGCCGACAAACTGGGAATCCACGCCAGCAGCTTCAACGGCTGGATCCTGGGAGAACACGGAGACACCAGTGGTGAGGATTTTATATGTCACAATATGGTACTGACAGACAACAGTGCAGACTGTGGTGTGTGAACTATGTGGATGAAGGTTGATGGTTGTCTTTTAGTGCCTGTGTGGAGTGGAACAAACGTGGCTGGAGTCAACCTGCAGACGTTAAACCCAGACATCGGCACCGACAGTGACGAAGAGAACTGGAAAGAAACCCACAAGATGGTGGTGGACAGGTAAGCCAGAGTTCACTTGGGTTGCTCAAATTTCGTTGAATAATACTGGAGGAGGACAGTGTGTCCTTGAATATAAAAAGATCTCACTTTTTCAAATCTAATTTCCAAAAAAGAAACAATCTCTGTCTGACTCTCTCTTCTCACTGTCTCTATCTGAAAGTGTTATTGTGTTTTATCAGTTTATTTTTAGCCCTTCTCCCCTATCTCATTAAAATCAACTAACTGTAAGAACTGAAAACAAACATTTTTTGGGGTTTTTTTGGTGTCTTAAGCTGTGTCTTGTGTCTCTCAGTGCCTACGAGGTGATCAAACTGAAGGGTTACACCAACTGGGCCATCGGTCTGAGTGTAGCTGACCTGACAGAAAGCCTCATAAGAAACATGAACAGGATTCATCCTGTTTCCACCATGGTGCAGGTAAAGGCTGCTTACACACATACATTTATAATCACATATATTTTAGATAGAGCCTAAAACTAACTGCAAAAGTTATGTTGCTAAGTAGCATCAACTAAAAAAGTTTAGTACTGGGCACTAAAGTACTTCAATGTAACCCTTTTTTCTGGCATTTTAGCATACATATTTGTTTGATTGTTTGCAATAAATGAAAGCAGATTTTAATTGATTGATTGATCATAAAATACAATTTTAAAGTGATTACTTGTTTTAAATTTTAAATATAAATTCCAATCCCAGTTTTACTTATTAAAGCTCTCTGCAACAAACCTTTAATTTACTCATAACTGCACTTCATAACACACGACTGGAGGAATTTGTGAAACAATAAACGATCAAATTAAGTATGAGCACAATACTTCTCACAGTTTACGTTCTCTCTCTGCTGACACTGTTTCTGAGACGTATGTTCTCATACAGACAGTAATGTTGTTGTTCACGGTGTACAGGGCATGTATGGAATCAGTGACGAGGTGTATCTGAGTCTGCCCTGCGTGCTGAACAACGGAGGTGTGGCCAGCGTGGTCAACATGACCCTGACAGAAGAAGAGGTGGCCCAACTGCAGGCCAGTGCCAGCACGCTGTGGGACATCCAGAGGGACCTGCAGGACGTCTAACTGAACAGCAGGGGGTGCTGCGCCTTCCTGAATGCTTACCACCTACAGTATTATCACTCTGCAGTCACTAAATGCCAGACAGCTCCACCTTCCACAACCCGATGCCCTCTGTAGATTCACAGGCGTTAGGGAGTTTAATCCCACCAGATTTAGCTGTACGTGTCAGTTTGTACACTTCTGCTCACTGGAGACCAAATGTGACAGCAACTGAGTGAAATGCTGCTCTGACTCATTTGTCCTCGGCTGTGTTGCAGTGTGGGACCGCTCGTGTTGCTTTGATGTGTAATAAACCAAGTTTGTTGTTGCTTGAACAGAAAGTGCATGTGTTCAGTTATTCAGTGGTAAAGTTTAGAGAAAATCTACTTTAAAGTAGAATTAAAATGTTATTTCTTTAATGCTGTAGTGCCTCAGTTTAAAGGCCCAGTGTAGGTTGTTACAGATTGCAACCAACTGAATACTGCTCGCAGAAAATTGGTTTGTCCATTTTTTGGCTACTGTTGAAACATGGTGGTTCAACATATGACGGACTACAGAGAAGAGGACCTGCTACTTCTGGAGATAAAAACGTCTCATTCTAAGGTATCAAAAACATATTGATTTATTACAGTCAGGTGATTACACACTAATGAAAACATCCCCATGAATATTATATTCCATTTCTGCCAACAGATCTTCCAAAATGTTACGAACTCTTTAAATCTGACAAAATGACAACCTGAACCTGCATTTTCTGACTCACAGCGTTACATTTTAAACTCTTTGGATAAGAGAAATTCTTTTTCTTGAGTCAATAATTTGTGTCAGTCGATGAACTCCTGCTATTCAATTAGCCCTTTAATGGGTCTATTTTTTTAAGGAAGTGAAGAATGTCTATAATCAAATGAGAATGAGAGGAATAATATGGACAAGTCCAAGTGTTGCAACTATCCAGTAATATATATATCTCTGTATAGTATCTATGTCCATCCTTAAATAACTTTGAGGTTAGACATAGCCACAATGTGCATAAGATTTGCATGTGAACACTGACATTGAACACATGGAGGGGAAACAGGGCATTGATTTAATAGGTATGGTGCACAATTTTGCATTTTATGAAGGCATTTCTTGCACAGGTAGAGGAGTTATGCACATGATACAGTATGAGTGCATTTAAATCTGACATAGTTATTGTAAACAAATTACATTTTAAATAAATATATACATCCCTGAACGTCATGGAGCAGGAAACACAGAATATTTTAGTAGCGCTTCTCTTCAAACTCAGACGTACATTTCTGTCTTTCTTCTTTTGAATGAAACTCTTGTTTGTTTGTTTGTTTTCCTTCAATGGTTGTTCAGCAGGGTTAATTCACGTGTCACTGACTGTCTGATGATCATATGGGGAACATCTGGTTTTTAAATTAAAACTGATCAATTAGGAGCCCTGCATATACAATTTAACTTTTCTTCATTTCAGTTTAAAACACAGGATTAAAACCTCGACTCTTCTACATCTCAGCCGATGACCTCTGTTTGACCCAATTGCCATTTCCATTAAAGCTCATCGGTCCACCTCTCAGCGACCTCGGTGTAGACAGTGTGATGATGAAGGGTGTTTAGCATGGTGTTAATCACTGAGTGGTGTGAATGACTTAATTGTTGCCCTAAGCTGACACAGACTTTTTCTTTTCTTTTACTCAATAACAAGTTGTAGGACTGTAAAAGGAGATCCCTCCTTGTTACACACACACACACACACACACACACACACACACACACACACACACACACACACAGCAAGCCCATTCATGAGAAGAACTTGAGTCCAGCAGTAAATAAACATGTGACTCAGAATTGAACAACCACAGCAAACAGACAAGGCAAGGGGATTTTATTTATATAGCACATTTAATTACAAGTAAACTTAAACAGCAACCAGTGGCATGCAGAAAAACATAAATAAATACAACAAAAAATGAGAAGAAGAAACTTCAAAAATAGTTCAAATTCAGCTCTTGTTTGTCTGAGTATTTATCTGGATTGCCTCCACCTGAGGAAAAGAACAAATTGAAAAGATTTGGAGTTGTTCAGATAATGGTGAGCCATCAGTGTGTTAAACTTTAAGGATTTTACCTTCTTCCACGGCTCGCTGCAGAACCTCCAGAAGGATGGATGACAAAGACAATCCCAGTCCATCGCTGCTCTGGTTGTGAGTTACTGCAGAGACGCAAAGGCATTTGAAAAGGAAACAACCAAGAAAGAAAGAAAATACAAACATATACAGTTTACATACTGCTAGAATACATTTAAAAACATTTGTTTAGAAAAAGACATCAAACTGATGTTATGCAAGTTTCTAGGTACCACTATAACAAATTATGCTTAATAAGTGAATATAACTAATGGCTTTATATAAGCCATTAATTAGAGCAAATGTTAGTAGCCAGGTAGTGAAATATTTCTCTTTTTCGGACTGTCATTAATAGTCAAATTCTCAAATCATGTCAATTAAAGAAAAAAAATCAGTAATAAACCATCAATTCTGCAGTAAAACATGAATAAAATCATCTCTACAGGGTCTGATTTCATTCAAATAACCCAACGTTAAGCCAAAGGTTTATCTTCAATTAAAAATGTCACTAAGTCATTAATGTTTTTTACAATAATCTGCAGTTGCAAAGTTAATAAATAGTTAAAAAATGATAATTATGGTCCAGATGGTCTGCAGCTAAAACCCAGAATTTGTTCCCTATAATGGTTGTATCTCATTTCAAAAGCATCTGTAACTCATTTAACAACCATTGAGAAAGTCCTTAATTACAGCGTATAACCCTTTTTTAAAGAGTCACTTATTAGAAAGTGCTACAAGCTTTTAAGAGCCAAAAATAATTCTACATCCGACATTTCTTTCCTTTTGATTTATTTTATACCATCACAGCACTCACCTAAATCCTCTCTACTGGTGCGCTCCAACACTGAACGATGTCTCTCTGCAAAAGATCAACATTCAACACTGATTTCTCTCCATCAGACAACACAGCTCAAAACTAACTCTACAGGTTTATGTTTCTACTTAATTTATTCTTACGTGCTCCTTTTAGGTATAAGATGGCCTGAGGAGTCCAGTTTCTCCGCTGAAAAGTGATGATGACAGTTATATTTATTCATTTATTTATTTAAATTCAGCTTGAATATGAAATAGACGACTTCCACCCACCTGTGGTGCACTCCAACACTGAGCAACCAATGTCACCACAAGCAATGTGACTATTAGAGACATTGTTGAACTCTGTAATGACATTTAGTTTTATTAAAAATAACATTAAAAGGACTAATATTAATAACAGAACCACCCCCACTGTTTAATAACACAGTATAACAGAGTTGCAGGTATGAGGACATTTTAAATGTATTAATATACAGTATTTTATCAACAATTATTATAACTTCTCCTATGAAGACATATTTATGTCTTCGGTTGTATTTTACTTTTGTGTCATTCAGTGTTTATACAAGAACATCCACTTACAGTGGCCCACAGGAAGAGTTATAATTGTTGACAAATATATTAATAAAGTCTTATTTCTGCTTTCAGCTACATTACAGTGTTTCATAAACTGATCATTAAATGTTTATAAACTGCTTTTAAATATTAAATAACAGACTCAAGTAAATTTTTTTATCTTTTTACTTCTCAAATATTTTAAGGACAATTAAATAATATTGTGAACACTGACAAAACACAAAAACAACAACAAGAATAATAAAATAATAGCTTACCGTTAATTATATTCGTAGTGTATTTTTGTTTATTTAAGGGTGCTGGTAGGTCTCCTGCAGGCTGCAGCTTGTGTTTTAAATCTATGATGGTTCTTCCTCTGTCACCACCTCATTCAACAGCGTCAGTGATGATGTGACAGGTAGCTTAATTACGTCTCACGTAATACTTCAACTGACAGAGTGACAGGTGTTGTTAACAGCGTCACTGCTCATTAATCAGAGAAACATGACAGAGATTGAAACTTTTATGAGCAGCAGTTCGTTCACAGGGTCACTGCGTGATGACGACACTGCTGAGATTTTATGAATGAAGCTGATGTGATGACAGCGTGTCAGTGAGTATGTGGATGAAGACACCTGCAGGAGGCCGGAGGCAGGGCTGGAGCGCAGGGGGGGGCTTCTTGGGCTCTAGCCCCTAATGTTTCAGTCTTTGAAGAAAAACTTCAGCTTTGTGTTTTTTCTCTGACTGGAATCAGTGGAGCAAAAGTTCTGTTACTGGGGAAATATCATCGTCTATCCACCCTAACATTGTCATGGAGGGTTGTTGACTTGTGTGTTAGTTGTGTCACCTCAGGGAGCTAACTAGCTAGATTACTAGCTTATGGACTCGGGACATAACAAATATAAACATAAACATCTACTATAGCATTGTTTAACTAAAATAGTTAAAGATTAGTAATGCTGTTTACACCAAACTCCGACCATACATCTGTTATGTAACTTTAAATTTATAACACCAGACTATTTTTGCCTCTTTTTAGGTGGCAGGAGTAAAACTTTAAATCAACATTAGTTCTGGTTTCAGAATAATGAGGACAGCTCAACCACCTTTGACAAGTCCAAGACCAGGATGAGTCGAGACCAAGTCAAGACCAATACAAAAAGAAACCTTTTGCCGTTGCCAGGGAGAGGAGTTTTGGCAGCCAGGCATACGATTGCAAGAGACAGTGATTTACCACCTCATAACCATGGTTACCAATCGTCAATACCAGTTCTAGATGGATTTTGAATTAAACTAATACTTGTTTTCTGAAGAAGGGCACTTACTTTATTGATGGTTTTGTTTTGAAAGAAGTTACTTCAAATAAAAAAAACAACAACATATTACTGGACTCGGTCGAGATCAACGGCCAAGTCCGAGTATAAATACCAACGAGTCCGAGACAATAGAAGAAGCGTCTCGAGTACTACAGCACTGCTTGAATTCAGGGTATTAATACTGTCATTAATTATCCTCTATCTTCTCAGCAACAAATATAAAACACATTTATAAAAGACACACTTTATTTCAAGTATGCACTTACAAAAGTTACAGTAAAACATCTCCACAACAAACCTCTTAAACTTTCTCCACAACAGTTCAGGTTCCTTTGCCCAAGTAACATTTAGCTCAACATTATTACATTTTAATGTACAAAATTCCAGTAACACTTCATCAAGGAAGTCAAATAAAAAGCTCTCAGTGACTGTTCAGGCACACAATCTGAAGGAGGGGATGCTGCGAGGAGCTCCGGACTCTCCGCTGAGTTAATCCATAAATGGTCCATAAATATCAGACTGGAATGATACAAAATGGGAGACCCGCTTCCAGCTTTTAAAATAAAATAAAAATCTCTTGGTTGACGTCATCCAAGTGTCGGTCAGATACAAAAACATCATCATATCAGTCAAACGTCCACAGATACACTGTTGTGTCTTTTGTGAAGAAAAAATGGTTTGGATTCACAGTTCTGGAGTGGCAATGACCAAAATATACAGTCACTATTAGAAACTATGATAAATACTGAACCTCTCCTCTGACACAGAAACAGCCCACTGTTATACCATATTGTTGCTCTCACCGATTTTATCCACCAGCTGTAAGAGAGTAAGAGAACAAACCAGAGTTATTTATAAGCTGCAAACTGATTTAGATCAAAACATTCAATGCAAATTAAGTTTAAAGTGCAGAGGAAGAACAGAAGGTTTTTTCTTTGTCCAAAAGTTCATTTAAATCCAAAATATTTAACCTGAGGACCTAAGTGAATATTAAATTGAGAACAAGGGGTCCAACAGTCAAACGTTATATATATAATATATATAATAAAACACGATGATACGATAGTCAAAAAGTCCCTTTACTGTAAAACTAAATAATCTTTTGTGATGAATTATCCATCTCAAGTTTCTCCAATAATCTGAAGGATTGTTCAATCTGCCGTTCACTGATCGGCATGAAATACTTACTGTACTGATCCCTGGTAAGCTGAGCAAAGACCCGAGCACAGGAACTCGCCTGATGAAGCCTATGGCCACCGGGAAGAATCCTCTGTTGAAGAGAGAAAACGAGGTTAGACCAAAAAGAATCAGATTATTTCAGGATAGCGGCGACAGTGAGATTTAGTTCTGTCTGCCCGAGCTGACCTGAATAAGAGGAAGAACCCGTAGATCTCCAGAACGACTCCGATGATTGGCCAGCCGATGAGAACCACAAGCACTCCTCCCAGGAAGAAACTGGTGGCTTTTACTTTGTGCCTCTGGAAGAAGAATCTGAAAGTTCGCTCCAGGCCGATGACGAAGGACAGGCCTGAGACGAACAGGATCTGCACAGAGAGCAAAGACACAGGATACGATCGCAGGTGTTAGACAGATGTTTGACTGTCACACGCTGTGGTAACGGTTTTATTGATCCACTCACATTTCCAATGGCGAGGAGAGCTTTATCAAAAAACAGCATCATCCCAAAGAAGAGGAAAAACACGCCGAACCCCGTCAGCCCCATCCCAATTTCTGTAGAAGAAACACAACAGTTATTATTACAGACAAGTGGGAACATCACATGACTTAAACCACTGATAAGAAACTGAGAAGCTGCAGACAATAACAGGGTAAAAACAAAATCAATGAAAGAATAAAGAGTGGGTTCAAACATATGGATTACAGAATGAGGAGAGTCAGCAGTGTTTCTTCAAATCAATGTGAATTTAAAAAAACTATATAAAATAAAACCACGCCATTAAAGTATCTTTAATATTCAGTATATGTGTGGGACTATTTATTATTCTTTAATACATCTGGCTGCATCAGCTCATTGTGTACAATGATCGCTGAATCTTTGACACAGTAAATTTACAGGATTACACATATTCCTGTGTAATTATTGAATCAATAAACAATTTCAAAGATCTTTACTGACTCCTAACAACAGGATTATTTCTATATTCTCAACAAACAGCTTAATTGAACTCCAATTAATTATTAGTTATAGTCATTTAATGCTAAATCAAACCAAGTGAATTACATCACTTCCTCTGTAACACTCGACGATGACGACCTGTTTAGATCATTGATAGAATATGATAATCGATGAAAACATGGTAAAATAAACACACACACACACACACACACACACACACACACACACACACACACACACACACACACACACACACACACAGTGGAGTGACGTAACGACGCTCTCAGCCAATAGGCGTAGAGCTGCCGACCTCACACGTTCAGTTAAACCGGGTTAAAACACAACAAAGACGAAGAACCGCGGAGGAAGAGGAGCTGCTCTTACTCTGTGAATCCGTGAGTGAAATCATTGTGGCGGCAGCTGCACACTTTATCCGCTCGTACGCAGCTGTAACGACTCAGAGCTGCTGCTCTTTGCTGAGGTGATCACTGAAGAGGAGCAGCAGCGATGAAGGCGAAGCTAGCGGTTTGTTACGCCACGTCTTCCGGAGGCCACGCGAGCACGTAACAAAGATCGTCTACGTGTGCAGATGTTCTTCTTCTTCTTCTTCTTCTTCTTCTTGTTACTATCATTATTATTATTATTATTATTATTATTAATATTATTATTTGTGTGCAGATGTTCTTCTTCTTCTTCTTCTTGTTACTATCATTATTATTATTATTATTATTATTTTTTATTATTGTTATTATTTGTGGGCAGATGTTCTTCTTCTTGTTGTTATTATTATTATTATTATTATTTTGTTATTATTTGTGTGCAGATGTTCTTCTTCTTGTTATTATTATTATCATTATTATTATTTTGTTATTATTTGTGTGCAGATGTTCTTCTTCTTGTTATTATTATTAATATATTATTTTGTTATTATTTGTGTGCAGATGTTCTTCTTCTTGTTATTATTATTATCATTATTATTATTTTGTTATTATTTGTGTGCAGATGTTCTTGTTCTTGTTGTTATTATCATTATTATTATTATTAATATTATTCTTTGTGTGCAGATCTTATTATTATTCAGGATACTTTTATACTTAAGTACATTGAAGAATATGTTTGAATTAATTTCACTGTGCATTGTACTATGTATAATTGTGCATATGACAAATAAAACCTCTTATCTTAATTCAGTACTTTTATTTTGTAATATTGTCTAAGATCTGATCACTTCTTCCATCACTGGTCTTTACTGATTTCCCATTAAATGCCGGCGCTGCACTGCTGACCAATCTATCAGACCACGAAATGTCACATTAAATTTACTCACATTCCAGTGTAATCATTTTATGAGCAGATTGGCTGGAGGCAGCAAACAAAATCATGCATATGAGATTGTCTAGAGATCTAAAGGTAAAAAAAAAAAGTAGATTAAACAACCTTGTATGCCTTTATGATATAGCGTAATACAATCTCTCCCCACCATCTATAATTAAGAATTTGTAATTAAAATATCTCAGTAAATTTACTCAGTAACTACTGCTGAGTAAAACCTGAAACCTTTTCAAATGTGGACTGATATTAAAAAAAAGAGCCTGTTAACTTCTTGGAAAAGACTTCTGATCCTCTTAAAGACCAAAAGTATGAATTAATGTGAGTATTTTAATGTGGGACAGCAACTGCGACATGCTCACAACAAGAGGTGTAGTCCGTAGAGGGCAGTGTGTCTCTATTTTACTGCTCTACCTGTTTCTGTGTGCTTTCTGGTCCCCAGAGAATCGATCAGAGTGAAAGCTCTTCGTGTTTGTAAAAGACACAACTGATCTGCGCATGCTCGTTCAAACATGTCTGCGCGTCACGGCTGCGCAGTAACTGCGCCGTTAGCTTAGCACATTTAAGCTAAACGTGTTCGGTTTTATTTTAACATATTTAATTAATAATTACTCCTACTTATTGTTGACCAGGCAGTATTTTTATTTGTTATATTGCCTTAAATACAGAGAAGGTTAAGGACGCTGCGTACCTTGTGTCAGGAAATGAACTACAACTCCCACAAGCCCTTGCGACACGGAAGCGTTGCCGTCTCCGATTCAGACGTGTTCAACTGAAACAGGAGTTTGTGAGGAAGCAGGAGACCTTCTGTGAAACAAAAACCCGCCGCTTGTTTTGCAGATATGCGCCGATCAGAAATGAAGTGACACGTTTAGCAGAGAGTTTTTGTTCAGCAGTGGATCAACATGGGGACAGTCTTTGCCATTATTCTTGTGTTTGTCGGATGCTGTAGCAATGTGGTGTCTCTGGAGCTGCTCGTAAGGTCAGTGACAAACTTAGGTTGTTCATGAACTCATGTCGACTTTACTTTACTAAAGCTTAATGTTGTGTTCACATCCCACTGCACGAGTGTTTGTTACTGGGTCCAAACACAGAGTGTGGTCAGTGTGGAGAGAGATTACATGAGCAGATTGTCAGGGGGGCAATGTTAATGTTCAGGTATATATTATATATATATATATATATGTTAATAAGTAGCCTTTTCTTATTTATTTACTTGTGTTTTACACTGTTCATGAACAGTCAGGACACCACTGTGGTACTTTCATGAAATAGAGAACTTAATCCACCTCAAAGCTGATTATTGTGGCCAAAATACATACAAATCATAATAATAATAATAATAATAATCCATTTTATTTATAGAGAGCTTCTCAAGGTACTCACAGACACTTAAAGTGATATACATATGTTAAAGTAATAGACAGCACACTAAAAATAGATCTCTCTGCCTCCATCTCTCTCTCGCTTTCTCTCTCTCTCTCTCTCTCTCTCTCTCTCTCTATACATATATATATATATACATGTATAGATATATATATATATATATATACATGTATATATATATACATGTATAGATATATATGTACACACACATATATACATATACATATATATGTATGTAGATGGACCAGTAAAGTCTTGGATGTGTTTTGGGAGATAGTAAAATAAATATATATATATAGACTAAATATTCAATACGCTGTAAGCAATCAATACATTAAATAAAATAAGTTAAAGTGGGGAAAAAATTTAAATAAAGGGATTCTCAAAGTACAAATGATGGTGCAACACAAAGTGGGTTTAAACTTTAAAATAGATAAAACAAAGCAGCTAAACTTAAGACACAATTAAATTAATAACAATACAAAACTATTCAAATTATCCCAGATAATTCAAACAGAATAAAGTTAAACAATGTGTCAAACAAGAACAGATGACAACTAATAATATAATAATAATAATAATAACAACAACAGTACAGATAAATGTAGTTCTCAACCGTCCATCAGAAGGTCTGAATATAACTGTATGTTTTAAAAGGTTTAGTCTGTGGATAATGTAATAAAAGTTACCAGCAATGAATAAACAGTATCACTATATATCACGTGAGGACACGTTCTGGACTGTTTCTTCTCCTCTGCCATTACTCCTTTCAGGCAGCGTAGACGCAGGAGTTTAACGCCATTGTTTTACAATCCGTCAGAAAAACATGTCGGCACTGACAAAAAGAAAACCGATAAACTCAGGCGATGATGATTCTGATGGAACGATTCCCGTCTCTGTTGTCCAAACGTTCTGTGACTGGAATAAGCAGTTCAATACATTTTCAGAAATCATCCCAAGAGAAAACTGAGACTATAATAGGAAATATACCACACAGTGAGAGGCGATTAATAAATATAAACATGGTATTTTACTTGTTAAACCTCTTTATCTTTACTTCATAAACTGTTAAATCTGGACTTCTTGCCTGATTTCCGTCTCGTCTCTTGTTTCGTTCCTCAGACAGTTTCCAGGATGTGGCAACATAGTGACCTTCGCTCAGTTTCTATTCATCGCATTAGAAGGTTTCATCTTTGAAACTAACTTTGGGCAGAAGAAACCAGCAATCCCTATAAGGTAAAATAATAAATAAAAGATCCACTCAGCTGATGAGGTTTGAACTTCCTGCTGCAGGAAAGATGTCGACCGGATGCTGAAACAAACCTGTCGTGTCTCTTTTTGTCCAGGAACTATGTGATCATGGTGACCATGTTCTTCACAGTCAGCGTGATCAACAACTACGCTCTCAACTTCAACATCGCCATGCCGTTACACATGATCTTCAGATCAGTAAGTCACTGTCACATAACCCCTCCACCCGTCACCTCCACCACCTCTGATCTCCATGTTTGACCCACTGTCTGTTTCTTTGCTCAGGGGTCCCTAATCGCCAACATGATCCTGGGAATAATCATCCTGAAGAAAAGGTATACCTGCTTCCTCTGACAACAGCAGTTCACCTCAGATCACAGAACATTAAAATGTGGTTTGATTGCAGTTATTAATGTTTCGCCTTCTCACTCTGCAGGTATTCAGCAAGTAAATATCTGTCTATAGCTTTAATTTCAGCTGGTATCTTCATCTGCACCATCATGTCTGCCAGACAAGTGGTGAGTCCTCTGCAGAACAGCAACATAATGCCATATTACAATGTTTTTATTTACTTTATGTTTTTTCTTCGTGTCTTTTGTGTCGTGTGTGTTGTTCCATGCAAGAAGTCCATCAATCCAAGACAATTTTCTCTCTTGAAATAATGTTTTATGCATCTTGTCGTTGTGTTTCTGCAGAACGTGGCCAATGAGGGATCAGAGGAACAAGGATTGTATGCTTTCATGCACTGGCTTATAGGTGAGTTCTTGGGGACAAAATCATTTCATTTAGCATTTTACATATTTTTTGATTAATAATTTAATCTTTTTGTTGTTTATTAAAGAAACACAAGGCGCTGCATTTTGAGTTAGAAATGACCATCAAATCACCACACGTCCAGAATCAGATAGAAACAGACAGAGAAGAAATAGATTTTCAGCCGTTCGTAACCAAACTAAGTTGTTTTTCGTTGTAGTTTTTGAACAGATTTAGACTTATTTTTATACTTTTAGATCCACATACGACAGTTTTGACACAATGCATCAAATTATTTCTTTATTTTTGTTGCAAGCTTAACTCAGCGCTTTTGCACTTCACTCATTAATTCCCATTTTCCCTGCTGCAACCAAAACCCAGACCATGCCACCGTAGTTTCTCCTTTGCGCTTGGAATTTTTTAAGTTTGGAAGCTTCTCTTTCTATTATTATTATTATGGCTACACTAGAGTCAACACTAACTTTTTCTTGTTGTTGTGTCCTTTCAGGTATCTGCATGTTGACCTTTGCTCTGCTGATGTCTGCGAGGATGGGCATTTTCCAGGAAACGCTGTACAAGCAGTACGGAAAACACTCCAAAGAGGCCCTCTTCTATAATGTGAGTCTTCTTTCTGCTCCGACATGCAGGACACGCTCCAAAAGATTCACATGTCTTTAGGGAATTTTAAACTTCATTTGAGTAAATTAGACTCTGTTTGTCTCTTTTCTGTCTCTGCAGCACTGCCTACCTCTGCCGGGCTTCCTGCTCCTCTCCACAGACATCTACAGGCACTGCGTCTACTTCAGTCAAAGCAGTGAGTTCATTCAGGAAATGTTGTGCATGAAAACATTTTACATTTTGTGTCTTTACTCACTGATATAAATAAATATCTTGTTGTTTCTCAGCTCCTGTAGTTATTCCTGAGGTTGGACTGACTGTGCCAATAATGTGGATCTACCTGCTGGTCAACGTCATCACACAGTATCCTGTCAAAGAAAGTTTATCTCAGTGGCTTTTATTCATTTATCTACTGTAACCGTTATCTTTTGTCACATTCCTCTAATCTGTGCAGTATAGTTCCGCTTCTTTGGGCATTTAAAATAATCCCATTTTGGTTGAACTGTTCTCAACATACACAGCAGACAAATCCAACCTGTAGAGCAAGTTACACTGCTTCAGTTTAAGGAGTCACAATTAGGTCTGGCTATCAAACATACATACCATTTTTTGAGTTTGGTCGAGTATCAAATGTCGGTATTGAAAGCTCGATCAGATTCTTAAGTGCAGCAAACATCAGCGATGTCATTAAGGCTAATACATTGAAAGGTTAAACAGAGTTAAATATAGCATGCATGTTTTGGTAAAAGTAAAAATAACACTGATTTATAATAGGAAACCTCAATCTAAGGAATATACTCTTGATATGCTGTAATAAGGTACTGAAAACATGCTGCTTTGATACCGTTACTGAAACTCAGGAGAGGTAATAAAAGTACACACATTCACATACAAAGTATTAGTACACATACTTACTAGTATAAAAGTAAAAGGAATGTTATTTCTATCAGCTGTTTCTGTATAAAGTTAACTGATTCTGCAAATAGGGTCACGTCTTCCTCTCTTCGTTTCATCTTGTTAAGTCGTTTCTTTCTCTTTTTTACCTTGTTTTTGTTGTTTTGCCATGTTATGTGTCTGTCTGTCATTTGTGATACGCACTGGTCTTGATGTTGAGAAGGCGTGCAATGATGCAGAAAATAATAATAATCGATAATTCCCCTCAAATGCATTAAACACTCAAGAAACAAGCCTGTTTTTTAACTTTAAGGAGGAGAAAGAACAGATATTTGTGTAAAAGTAAAAAGTTGTCAGGGAAATAAATACTGGAGGAAGGTACAGATACCTGAAAAAAACAACTTCTGAAGTACAGTAACAAAGTATTTGTACTAAGTTTAGTTTAAATTGCTGTGTTTTTATTTCTCACACTCTAGTTACAGACTTTAACCAGTGTTTTCAGATATGTGTGCATCCGCGGCGTGTTCATTCTGACCACAGAGTGCGCCTCGCTGACGGTCACTCTGGTGGTGACCCTGAGAAAGTTCATCAGCCTCATCTTCTCCATCCTTTACTTCCAAAACCCCTTCACCACCTGGCACTGGGTGGGCACAGCCGTCGTCTTCCTGGGCACTCTGCTGTACACGGAGGTGTGGAGCAGCGTGCGGGCCGCTCTGCGTGGACCCGCCGTCAAGGAGAAGAAGGCGGAGTGAAGAAGAAGAAGAAGAAGAAGAAGAAGAGACTGATGATTGAATAGAAAAACAGCCACTGTGTTGGACTTGGAGATGGTTTTTGGTCGTCAGTCCTGTAGAGATTTTATACTCTTATGGAATTGTGTTTTCATACTTGATGTAGTAAACTCCTCTCACACACACAGACAAGTTTAAAAGATGAAGCTGCTGATATTCTACATTTTCATTATTGTCAATAAATGCCAGGAACAGAACAAAGAGATCAACAATGTGTTAGTATCTAAAACTCAAATATCATATTTTTTAAAAAGGTCAAACATTTTCCTAAAACGGCTAAACTGTAGTTTTTAGGAATTGTTCCTCAAACAGGAGCAAATAGTGCATTTGTACTTGGACTAATCTACATCTACAGCAGCAGCAGGACGTGTAGGATCGACTCAAACTAAACCGCAGGGCCCCTGTTCATTGCAGGAAGGGAACATGTGGACCATTTATGTGTTTTTAATTGTTTTTGGCACATGAGGAATGAGATAAATTAGGATTTAGCTGCTTGTTGTGGATAAATTGATGGATTTGTTGAGAATAAAGATAGAAAATCTAGGATATCACCAGCCTTTAGTACCTCATTAGCATTCTCAGATGCAAAAATTACGGTGCAGCTGTCTTTTGTGTAATGTTTGAATATTTATTTTCTAAAGAGCTAATTTACTTAATATTAACTTTGATGATGTAGTAGCTGTAATTTGTTTTCTCATAGATTGTCTCAGGTGTATTTGAGCAGTGTTTACAGGAAACATTACATTGTACAGTAAAATAAATCTTTACACTCCCTGCCCATTGAAATTAAACACAACCTGGCTACAAATACAGATTGTAGAGTCTCTGTAGGTCTGAAGTAGTTGATCATAACAAAAAAAAGAGCATGTTTAAATAAGTATATTGGATTTTACACATTTTCTAGTTCAGGGGACACAATGTTCCCTCACGTTTCATTGCCTTTAAGGCCAGTGGACCAATCCAGAGAGGCGTTGTTCAGCTGCATCCAATAGCAGCTCCTCTTGGTCGCACTTCGGTGGGAAGGGCACATTGTTGCAGCTGCTGCGAGTTGATTTCAATGAGCAACACAATCCACGTTGTGGATTAAATATCTCCAGTAAACACAGATTGTAGTGTGCAGCTGCGGGTGTGGATGGGAGGAAACAGCCCGAGTCACTTCTCCCATGAGGATGGGGGAGGCGGAGGAGTAACTTTTGTGAAGGGCATTCGGGTGAGTGAGAGAACAGGGAGAGTTTGCATGAATTTGATCTGGGAGAAAGTATTCAGTCAGGGGTTTTTAAGTGCACGCAGTGGCTGCAGAGTGCATGGGTGTTCATTTTCCATCTGCAGCCCTGTGAGCTCTGTAATCCATAATTCTGTGATCGGTATAACTAACTATTGATCTCGCCCCCCATGTTTGTTGTGACTGTACAAAGTCAGTGGCAGCTCTGGAAAGAAAATGGTCGGTTGTCAAGATGGACCAAAAATATTATTCTTAAAAATAATCAATTATATCATCAACATAACTGCAGTAAATCCTTAAAGAGACATACAATTAAACAACATTATAAAATATTATTATTAAAGGATATTTTATATATAAATAAGTCTATGAAACAACTCTTTAAACCACTGGTGGAGAAACACTAAGTACATTTACTCAAGTACTGTACAGTTTTCAGGTACTTGTACTTTTTTGTTCTTTCATGCTGCATTTCAGAGGAAAATATTGTACTTTTTTCTCAACAACATTAATTTGAGAGTTTAAGTTAGTAGTTTGCTGATTGAAATTATTAATACAAAAATATAAACCAACTAATTAATTATGGTGTGCATTGTTATAAATGAAACTACCCAGCAGTATAAAATAATTAAAATTAGCTCTTTATCAGCTGGAAAATGTATGTGATTTACACATGATTGCATCAATTATTATAATCCAGTAATATTTTACTACTTTTTGTACTTTAAGTATATTTTGATGCAAACATAATTCAAACAGAGTCAAATAATTAAGAGATTAACCCATTTTTAATTTCATTTTTAAACAAACCAAATAAGTACCCACAAAAATAAACAAAGGAGGGAATGACAGATAATGTGCTGTTGGTGCTCCTAACTTACAAGTAGAAACTAAGCTGGACAAACATGACCTTCTCATGACCTTTTACCCCCTAAAATATAAATAACCAAAATGAGATCAACTGCTGGTGCTTCTGAGGCCAGAAAAAGAGAAAGAGACCAGATCCATTTAAAGAAAAACACATTAGAATTGGAAGAAATGCTGATTATTCAGTTATTGAACAGACAGATACTTTAAATACTTTCAACAACTCAATGAAGAATATAAATTACTTGCACAGGATCATTACACATTTGTTCCAGTTAGACAGCTCCTCAGACATCATGTTCAGATTACACATTAAAGGAACTTTCTAATGCAGAACAAGAAAAGATGAAGAAAATACTTAAAGAGATTCTATAGGGAATTAAGATGAGGATAGTAAAACAAAATAAAGGTGAGAACTGGCATTAAACACAATGATTTTTGAAAATTAATGAGATGAAACTTGCTTGTCTGGTCATAAACTAACAAATCGCCCAAATTAGAGAGTTTGACTGAAAGGTCAGAAACAGGTATTTCAGTCGTAATGGCTAAATATCTAAAATCTTATGGATGAAGTTGCAGAGGTTGTGGCCTCCAAAGAGACCTCATATATGCACATATACTCCGGTGCTATCTAAATGTGCAGGGGTACTAGCAGGATGTTAAAAAAGAAATAGAATTAACCTTGAATACAAACTTAATCTTTAACCCAAAGTTATTCATCTTAAGCATTTCCTCTGGAATCAAATGTCAAATATACTTATAAAGACCTCACTTTTAATAGTCAAAAGTTTACAATCCTATGGTTGCCGCCACCACCCCCAAACATAAAACAATGGCAAAAAACAGGAAATGAGTTGTTTTATTATAGAGAGGTTCACAGCAGAGATGTATGGCACAATTAAATGAAATGCTAGTTATGCCCAGCAGATGGAGTTACATAACAATAAGTTTGTCTCTTCTTTCTGTTGTCAGCTGTCAGACAAAGTCATCAACCGGATGAGACAGCCGTCAAAGGTCGTCTCTCCTCAGCTCTCACAGAATGGAAATCTTCCTCCTCCACCTAAAACACAAACACCCACCCCAGTTCCCGCCCCATCTGTTGAACACCTAATACCTCTTCTGACTCCTCCTCCATTCATCCCCCCGCCGGGAGCCCCGTCTACACCTCCGTCAGTGGAACCTGCTCCTCCTGTAAAGCTTGTCCCTCCCCCTCCTGTAAAGTTTCACTCCCTTCCTCCTGCCTCTGTGGAGCCTGCAGCCCCACCTCCACCTGAGGAGCTAAAAACTTCCCCTCTAACCGACCCTGTTGTCTCAACCCCTCCACCTCCTCCTCAGGAAGCTCTATCCACACCTCCATCAGTGGAATCTCTTCCTCCTATAAGTTTTCCCACCCTTCCTTCTGCATCTGTGGAGCCCCCAGCCCCGCCTCCACCTCCAACCGACCCTGTTGTCTCAGCCCCTTCTTCTCTTCCATCTCCTCCTCAGGAAGCCCTATCCACACCTCCATTAGTGGAATCTCTTCCTCCTGTAAGTTTACTCTCCCTCCCTCCTCCCTCTGTGGAGCCTGCAGCCCCACCTCCACCTCCAACCGACCCTGTTGTCTCACCTCCACCACCTCCTCCTCCTCAGGAAACCCCATCAACACCTCCATCAGTGGAAGTTCTTCCTCCTGTAGATTTTCTCTCCCTTCCTCTTGCATCTGTGGAGCCTCCAGCCCTGCCTCCACCTCCAACCGACCCTGTGGTCTTAGGTCCTCCTCCTCCTCCTCCATCTACAGTAGAAGCACTTGTGGAGCCTGAACTTTCTCCTCCTCCCCCCCCTCCTCCTGCTGTAGTGGAGCCCGTAGTCCTACCGCCTGTTGAATCCTTCATCCCACCTCATGTAGAGCCAGAAACCCTGTCTACACTGCTGATAGCAGAACACGTCGCCAAACCTGTTGTCCTACCTCCACCTGTGGAGTCCACAGCAGCTGTAGCTCCTCCTGAACCACTAGCTTCGTCTCTGCCCCCTGAACTTGTGCAACCAACCCCTCCAACTACTATTGGACCTGCTGCTCTTGCTCCCTCTGTGGAACCTCTTGAACCTCTCGTCCTGTTGCCACCAGTGGAAACAGTCTCACCTCCACCCACAACTGAATCGACACCAGTTGAACCAATAACCCCACCCAATCCTGTTGATTCAGCTCCAGTTGAAGCTGTAGCTTTGCCTCCGCAAGTGGAGACGACTCTTGTTGAGCCTGTCGTCACGCCCGCTGCAGTTGAAGAAGTGCCTCCAGTCGTGGCTCTGGTCGTGGCTCCAGCTGTGGATTCACCGACTCCATGCGAACTGGTTCCACCTCCACCCCCTCCAGAGCCCGTGGCAGCACCCTCTCCTGCTCCAGAGCTCACTTTTGAAGAGCCCTCCCCGCCCTGTCACTGTGAGGAACTGGCCGTTGTACCCACTGATGCACCTGTAGATGAACCCCTTGCAGAGCCTCGAGCACCACCTCCACTGGATCCAGCTCCACCTGCTGAGGAGCCCACCACCACCCTGTCTCTGCCCCCAGTTGCTGAAGATGAAGTGCTTGCTGTCACCTCAGTGCCTCCACCTGTAGCAGGTGAGCTGATCACAAAGATGTGGATGTTTTATGGTTTATAGCAACTGTTTGAAATGAATCAACTAAATTTCTTGTGCTATTTATTTATTTTTTTTTCACTAATTGTGTGTGTTTGCTGCAGCTTTGCCCGTTTCTCCTGAAGTGCTGGAGGAAGAGATGAGGCAGAAGATCAAAGAGGAGATGCAGAAAAGTCTGGAGGAGGAGATCAACCAGAAGAGGCAGGAACTGCAGCGACAGTAAGGGCAAATTACTGTGAAACTTATATCTCATCATTTTGTGTTCTGACTTTGTCTGAGATAAAATAAAGATGTAGAAAGAACTGTAGATGCTTTTCAACCTGGAGAAAAAGTGTGCACCCAAGATGCTCAGTTTACATAGCACAGGTTAAATGAGTAGTTGATTGACTGACAGTGATTGAAGGCAAACTAAAGCAGAAAAATCTTTACATTTGAGAAGCTGGAACCAGCTTTTTTTTTTTTTTTTTTTTTTTTTGTCAATTTTGCTTGAAAAATAACATCAAGATGGCTGTTGCAGACATTCAATTCAATCAATGAATCGACTAAGCACTGATTCAAATTAAATACATGTTATGTGTGTGTGCACCTGTGAAGGCTGGAGGAGATGAGGGCTCAGGCTCGAGCAGAGGCCAAAGCAGCAGCTCAGGCTCAGGTGGAGGAGCAGGTGAAGAAGACACTGGAGGCGGAGAAGACAGCGTACATGGAGAACCTAACGGACTCCATCATGAAGGAGCGAATGAAGACGGAGGATCAGAGGCTCATGGTGCAGCTTTATGTAAGCACAAGTGAACATGATGTATGATCTGTATATGTGTGAGGATCTCTTGTAAATGTCAAGTTCCTTCCTCCTCTTAATGTCTTTCTATTTCTTGCCCTCTTGTCTTGTTTCAGTGGATGGAGCTGAAGGTAAGATGAGAGAATTTATACACGCATGACTCACTTTTTCACTTTCACTCTGCTCTAACCACATTTAAAACAGCTGCTGCACATCTGTGTTTTTCTGCTTTGAAATTATATGACAATGTTTTTTTTGTCTCATCAAATAAAGAGTCTACAAAATATTAAGCAATAAAATGTATTGCTGGCATGAATGTACTGGTTCTAGAGGTTTAATAATGCCATTATAAACATTTTGTCCTACAGGCTCATCAACTGGAGCAGAAGGAGAAAGCTTTAAAGAAACAAGATGCTCTCTACAAGGAACATGTCGCAAAACTTGAAACAAAGGTGAACGATACTTCCTCAGTTGAAGGTCCAGTGTGTAACGTTGAGGAGCATCTATTGGCCGAAATGGAAGGTTAGGTTAGGTTAGGTATAATTACCTGAATGTAGGAATTGTTATGTTTTTGTAACCTTGTTACCACTAAAGGACTCAACAACTAGACTAAACAAACTCGCAGAAGTACAGTACAATCAGATATAAATGTTGTTTAAGCCAACAGGTAATTTGTCTTAAGAACAGTCATCAGAGAAGGATGAAAAATTAGCTTTTGACAGCTCGTTTGTACGATGCAGTTGTGATATTTGACCTTGATGGTAACGTGTGGTGTTTTTACCACTTTGACAGTGTACCCAGTTTTACAAAGTGACTGCTGAGAGCTTCCAGAAGGGCAAAGAGGAGACTCACAACCGTTTTGCGTAAGTTCAGACTTACTGTGTTTGTATGGATGCAACAATTATCTGCTAACTTGCATTCGTCAGTAATGTGGTCTTAATGATACAGAAACATTTGACCCTTTTCTGTGATTAGTAAGGTTACAGAGTGCACTGAGGGGTGGTACAAGCCAACAAAAGGATGTTTAATAAAGGGATAGTTGGCTAGTTTGAAAGTAAAACTAATTTGGCCTTTAATAATAACTGATGTTTTTTTTCTCTATGTGCTCTCAGGCGTTTCGATATCCAGCCAGTTTGTGGTGACTTGCAGAGCCAGATTTTAAAATGCTACAAGGAGAACACAGGAAAGACTTTGTCTTGCTCGAGTATCGCCTCGGCCTACATGCAGTGTGTGGACAACGCCAAGAAGGTAACAACTATCTATCTATATATATATATATATATATATTTATATTTATTTTTACTCTTTGGAACATGATCGCCCACTGTCACTCTTCTCTACCCAGCACTAACATTTTAACCCATTTCTCCTCTCCTTCCATAAAGAATAAATTAAGCACTGGAGGTTAATATGGAGCGTTTGATGACATCTGACAGCCTTACTGTTGACAGAAAACTACAAACACACAAGTTACAGGAAATACAAGAGAATCAACTCCAACCTTTACAGTCACCTGGGAGAAGTGCCATATAGGCCAGCTAGGCCTGTAGTCTGGCCTGGTACTGGTGTCACAAACAATAACGGCTTGGTGTTTAGCGTAGGTGCCATGTTTTCAACCTCTCTGGTTCTTGGGATCATCTTTAAACCAACTGTGCCACAACAATAAGAGATGGATCAACACAACAAAAGAGCAGAAGATTTAAGTTTGTCATTACTGGTTTTTAGTTTGGCAGCGGTGTGAAATCAAGTAAGGTATCTGTAAGAGAAATGTATACTGAATGAGATTCTGGTAAATCATTATGTATGTGTGCCTTTTAGTTATGAAAGCTAATTATCAGATTGCAGATGCATGGAAGAATCGTTTAATGAGTGTGAAGAAACCTGTACATGTTAAGGCTATTGAACTGTACATAAATTATTTCAGGGGTTATTTCGGGTGCATGAAAATAATTAAATCAGTCTCAATAAACTTTGTTGTTGGACTACATGATGGCTTTTTATGTTTTTGTGGTTCGACAAAAATATTGGCAGGTGGTTGCTTCCCTCTGGTGGATGTAAATTGTCCTCTGATACTTTTGATTTGTTTTTGTGATTTGTCCCAGCTGTTTAACATTAGCATACATCCTGTGTTGTTTATACTGGGAGGTGGAGTCATTCACTGTGCAGGACTCTCACTGAGTGGGAGTTTTTATGAGAATTTCAAAGACGTCTTCATGTCATTGACGTCCTGCGGAAATCCTCCATAAATTCATCGTCCACCACCATGTATGAGATTAGAGCTCGCTCAGACTCTCAGCAGCCGAAGATTAAAAGTCCTCTTCAGTATAATGTCTCCAACATAAATAATTATTTCAAATAATCATGTCTTCAGCTGTTTACAGCAGCTTTAAGAAAGACCAACTATAAAGCAGTTTATACAAACTAGTGAAGATCAGGGCCTGTATTTAAGTGGAAGATCAAGGTAAAAATAAACTCCTTGCAAACGTGAGAATAAAACCTATTCATCACATTCCTTAAAACTCAAAATCTTTTCTAGATTTAAAAAATCTCCAGAGGTCTAGGAAGTTGCTTAAGTCCCAGATGGCTGCAGCAAAGGAGTGATTGTACATAATGTCATTAGTCATGATAAGTAATAGTAGGCTCACTACAATTTGCATTTTATTTTAAAGTCTGCTGGAGTGTTGCAAGACTTCCCTTTTTGCATTCATCAGTCGCGCAAAACAGAATATGGTAAATGGACCTGTACTTGTATAGCGCCTATTCCGACCACTCAAAGCGCTTTTACACTACGTGCCACATTCACCCTTTCACACACATTCACACAGTGATGGCAAAGTCCATCTAACAGAAACTAACATTCATACACATTCACACACCAATGCACAGTATCTTGCTCAAGGATACTTCGACATGTGGCACCAGGAGCCAGGGGTCAAACCCACAACCTTCTGATTAAGGAATGACCCGCTCTGCCTCTGAGCCACAGCTTTTCTGTCTGCACTTGGTACTAAATTCTCTATTATATGATTTTCTTTCTATCAGCAGCCATTTCAGTCAGTTTACTATTATCAAATCCCATTTATTAATCCCCATTTATATATAATATATATATTAGGTAGAATTTAGGAATTACATGGATATAACACAATAATTAAGAATATGACAGATGTACGGTAAGCTAAAGAATTTGTGTTTGTTAGTTTTTATTTTTCAGGGACATTTTAAAGTCGCAGTTTGACATACACTGACACATATAATATAAAATTTTGTTAATATATAACGTAAGTATGTTGATTGTTTTGTATACTAACTGTAAAATAAATTTATGAATACAAATAATATATCCTTGATACAATATGTTCAGTAGTTGCCACATTTGCTCTAGGTAGCAATAAGTCGGCTCATAAATGTGTCTTACACTTTGAGAAACAATATATGATAAATACAGGTCCAGACACCCAACAGCAACGTCACCAGTAGAGGGCAACCAACCAGCTACTACAGGCTGCCACTGGTAACTGTTCCTTCCACATCTGACATTTACTCCGTAGTACGACATTCCCTTTGTTGGAGTCACTTATTCATCATTCCTCAAACAGCTGGATGAATCAGTCACCTTTCATTTCCCTATAAATAAGAGTCTCATCAGCGGCAATACAAAAATAGGAATGTAGATAAGTATTGGAAACAGAAATTAACTGAAAGTATCAAAACATACTCATTATGATTGTTATATATTAGCATTATTATTGGATGCCTTGTAATGATGCATTAACATGTTAGCAGCGCTTATTGGAATCTATTTCTTATTTTATAAATTAATCAGGTTTTATATGTAAAACCTTAATTAAAACTGTAAAACAGCATGAAATGCTGCAGTAAACAGTAAACAAAAGTACTGTTTGTAGCACTTTTACCTTACTGCCAAGAACTTTTTTAAAGTTCCAGTGCGTAACATTTAGGAGGATCTAATATTATATTCATAGGTATGTTTTAATTAATGTATAATCACCTGAATATAAGAATCGTTGTGTTTTTCGTTATCTTTAAATGAGACATTTTTATCTACAGATGCAGCGGGTTGCCTTCTGTGGAGTCCGCCATGTTGAACCACCATGTTTCTACATTAGCCCAGAACAGACAAACCAAACACTGGCTCCAAATGGGGTATTTTGTGTTTTTTATTGTTTCTCCTTCGCACTTCTCGTTCTCATACTCAGGTTGTTAAACACAGACAAGAGTGATGTTCAGTTAGTTGCAATCTGCAACTTCACCACTAGATACCACTGAATCCTACACACTGGTCCTGTAAGTGTGGTAAGTTACATTTCAGCACTAGTCTCTGTGTTAGTCTACAGAAATAAACATGATCAAATCTCACGTCTTTCTGCTCCTTATTCTGGTAAAAACCAAGGAGGACTGGCATGCCTGTTAACACGTGAGTGTTTGTCTCATCTAATTTTAGGTACACCGTGTTCTGGTCGATGTAAAGAGGAAGTGAGTGTTTGCATGTATGTGTGGTTGTGTGGGTGGTGGGTAAAAACAGAAATTGTGGCAATTTACATTTGAGAGATTAAATTACTTTTACATGCTCTTTATATAGGTTGAGAATTTTTTACTGTCATGGAAACTAAGTATTGTATGGCTGTCAAGCTTTAGGTTCTAAAATGTTGACATTTTGGTGGTAAACTTGCATGTGTCTGCAAGTTTTGAACAATTAGCTTTTTTATCATCAGTTTTTTCTGCATTAAGTCGACTTCAGTTGCTTTGACCTCACATCACTTGAATGTGATAGTTTGTCAAAGCTTTAATTTTATAAATCAAATATATCAGATACTGTAAAAGCTTCCTTTCATGTTCATGCGTTCAAAAAGGATTTCTACAGTGATGGAGGCAGACATTAAAGTGTTTGCTTTACTCATGCAGCTCAGAGCATCAGCCTCTTAAATCCACTCACTGTACAAGTAAAGCCAGGAAAGTAAAGGAGAAGTGAAGCTGTGGTCTATATAGACCAGAACTGACGTGAAGTTCTTTCATTGGCCACAGAGGACACAAACTGCCCAGTGTTTATCTGTGCTTTTTGTGTTTATGCACAAGAGTGGTGTGTGTTAAACATTATGTAACTGCGACTGAGTTCACCCATGCCTTTTGAAAATACTACTCTACATGTATACGTGTTTGTGTGTGTGTGTTTGTGTGTGTGTGTGTGTTTGATTTGTTTTTACTATCTAATGAAGTACAAACATCAGCTGCAGAAAATGCAAACATGGAAAGATGGTCCTTTGTGCTCTCTGTTCTCCCAGCCTCTTGAGAAACGCAGTATTTGTAGGTTGTTGTGGTCTAAAAGCTGCTGTTTTTTCTCTCATCTCACAGGATTCATGGATTGATCAGTGGCTGATTGATTAATTGTTTGATTCTTACCTTAACTTATTGTAAATTCAAACATGAACCGTTTAGAACTGTTTTAAAGTTATTTTTTGGCCTTTTATTGCCTTTATTGATAGTGACAGCCGAAAATAGACAGGGAAGGGGGGCAGAGAGAGAGGGGATGACACGCAGCAAAGGGCCACAGGTCGGATACGAGCCCAGGCTGCTGCAGCAACTCCGTACATGGGTCGCCAGCTCTACCGACTGAGCTAACTGGGCACCCCTTAGAGCTGTTTTAAACCTGGAAAGTAAGACGACACATTCACAGGAAAAGTTAATTTAAAGCTGGTCTGATATTAATCAGCATATATCAATATTTCTGTCTCTTGGACTGATAAGCACTGGATGGATTGCCTTGAAATTTTGTACAGAAATTCATAACTCTCAGGTGAAATGTCTCAAATAGCATCATCAGGTCACAATTTGAGTTTTTCCGATATTTGCTTAATGATCATATAAGTGCTAATGTCAGCCACAGTTACACTTTATGTTTAATGCTAATTAGCAAATGTGAGCATGCTATCACTCACTAAGATGGTAAACATGCCTGCTTAACTTAACAGCATGTTAGCATTGTCATTATGGCCATGTTTGTATCCGTAGATATTGACTAGGCTTCACTAACAATAGATTAAATGAGTATGTACAATATAGTGATGCACCCACAGAAGTTAAGTAATAAGGTATTGTTCAAAATAATCTTCCCTTAATATTAAATCCATCTATCAGTCCTCTGATATACCCTCTATATATCCCTCTGTAAGAGCTTTAAACTCATTGTGTGGGTATTGAGGAAGATGGAATAAAAGAAGTAGCAAACATTGTAGCATTTAGACTTCTTCTGAAGGACATATGTCTTTCAAATTGGAAGGTGAGTGAATGAATGTAAGTTGATGTTACATAATTAAGGACACATTGCTCCTTTTGAAGGGAAAGTATTCAACACTTTTGCTGTCGGTGTGGGAGGTGTGCATATGGCTTTTGCTGGAATAACAAAACAATGCTGTGAAGCTGCAATGCAGAATGTACATTACATTAATCAGACCTACTGAAACATAAATATATAAGCATCAAATCCTTCACAGTATCACCTGTGGTGTATACACTGTATGTGGGTTTAGATACTTTTAGAAAGCAATGACTTTGTCGCTATGCAATCCTGTCCTTTCTTTGGCGGTGCTATAGTGATAGTTACCAAGGACGCATCTGAAGCTTGCAGACTACTCCAGGAGGATTGTTACATAACAGTGCTTGTTGTTTCGTGTTCTCGCTCTTCACCTTGTTGCCTGCTGATCCTGAGTGAGAGTGCGACTCATGATGGGATGTTACTTTAACAAGCCTACAGGGCCCAGGTCAAAAACACAGTGGGTGGAACTAAAAGTACAGAGACTGTCTACCTGCAATCTTTGTGTAGTCATCCTTTACCATTCACCCACCCTATCACTCATTTTAAGTTGATATGCTTTTTGGCAAACATTTGTTTAGCTACACATTCAGCAGCTACCGAGCAATATTATGATTATATTCTGATAAATGCAAGTCCTACATTCCCTCTTTTTAAAATTTCTGAGAAAAATATCTGGCTCTCTAGCTGTTAAATGCTCCACTATGTTTATCAGCTAGTCTCTGTTTGATGCTGAGCAGGTAGTGTGCAGTGGGTTTATAGGGCTTTTTCACTGAAAACAGCTGCCTGCTGAGGCCAAAAATTATGTTTTGCGTTGAGGGTAAACAAAAGCAGTAAAGTTGCAGCCGAACAGCGAAACTCGCTCTAAAGCTCCGTAAAGTAGAAGGCAGCTGCAGATTATCTGTAGGTTCATCACTTCAAGCAACGGCTTTCACAATGTCACATTTTTTTCACATTATCATTTCATAGATAAAAATATCAGTTATAGCCAAATAAAGGAATAGCTTGACTTTTTGAGTAATTCAATAATTATCTTTCTTCTACACTAAATATGATAGCTACAGACAGCAGCCAGTTATCTCAGCATGATGAATGGAAATAGGTAAGAACATGTGTGTGGAAACAACACGTTGGACTATTTCTTGACCAGGTACAATGACTTCCTGGAGTCTCTGGTGGTACAGTTAACCAAAAAGACATATTGTGTTAATCATTTAGCTTTAAAGGTGCTGCTAGGTGGATTGTATCAGCTTTGAATGGAAACAGGCTAGCTGTTTCCCTTTATTTCTAGCGTTTGTGCTAAGCTAACCTAAGCTAACTACCTGCTGGCTGTAGTTTCACGTCAAACTGACAGATATGATGAGAGGTATTAGTCGTCTTAATAAACTGTCAGCCAGAAAGTGAATAAGCATATTTCTCAAAATGTGAAAGTGTTCCTTTACTTCAGTTTAGATTCTTCAAGTACAAATGTTTTTCACCCCGAGGGCCAGCTGTCAGGATATCTTGATGTAGCTCTAAGTTCAGTGCAGACTGTGAATTAAAACTGAGCATTTGACAGTTCAGTGGGCTGGATCATGACGGCAAGATCTGGACTGAAACAGTCTCGATAGCTCATGTGTGTATGCTGGTTGTCAGAGTTACACAAACACAGAGCGCGAGAAGAATAAGGGGGGAGAACTACTGAGGGAAGAGAGGAGAGATATTTTCATTCTTAATAGCAGAGTTGTCCTCTGGTGAGGATTAGGGATCGTGGAAGGACGGTCCGGATGTTGGGTAGAGGGTGGAGGCAGGCTGCGGGATTGTGGACATCTAGAAGAGGCATTCCTTGCAATGCTGCAGTTGTGGATTCACAGACAGCGGTAAGTGTGCATTAAAGTGAAAGAGAGCAGGGGAGGAGGAGAGAGTAGAAGCAGGTGCACACAGAGCCGTAGGAGGATGCTGGATGGCTGACAGCAGCATCAAAGTGTGGATGTTGTTGTAGTGATGATGAGAAGGGGTGATACTGGGGTGAGAGGTTGGTGTGACTATGCCCTCACAGCCACTTCCTTTGGCATCCTCAGGATGGACGGATGAAAGGAGGAAAGAGAGCGACTCATCTTGTGGTCAACTCACCATATATGAACGGATACTGGGAAAGGAAGCATGTGCTGGGTGATGCAGGCTGTGTTATGCATGTGAGTAAGTGTACTATGCCTGTGCTCTTTGATGGAGGCACAGTTATTCCATTTCCCGTCACATCAGAGGAATGCAGGGTGAGATTCCTGCTATGTGAGTCGTGCCCTCTCACCTGCCATCATCATACAGATACTATTTCAACCTTCCATTTCCTCCTCGGCCGGGAAATTCCCCAGTTTTACTCAGGGAGGAAGTTACATAGTTTGCATGAGCTGCGTTCTGGTCATAATTGGATATTTCAAGTTACAAACCTATGTTCCTATTTCCTCTACACACAATTTATTTTGCTTATTTGAAGGAGTTCAGGAGTTTATTCCAGTCAGTAAATGAGGGTGGTGTTTTCACTTCATTTTAGAGTACCGACGTATAAGCATGGACGAAATAAATCTGGAGTATTATGTGGGTGTAAATGGAGTAATTGCTTGTTTGCACTTACGAGAGCAAGGATGCTTTGTCATGCTGGGTCTGTAATGTGTGTGTGTGTGTGTGTGTGAGAGAGAGAGAGAGAGAGAGAGGAGGGAGCTGCTACTTTAAATTTTTATTTCCTGTTTGGTTAATTATCTTCTAAAGCTTGTGAAACATTCACATCCTTATAACTTACTGTAAATATAGTTATTAATACAATGCATCTGTGTCTATCTAAGTGCGTGTGTGTGTGTGTGTGTGTGAGCCTGTGATGACTCAGTTACAACAATGACGCTGGCAGAGCAGTGGATGAATAGCTCACACTGACTGTAAAAAGCAGAGAGAAAGAGAGAGAGAAAGAGAAAGAGAGAGAGAGAGAGAGAGAGAGGGCTGTGCTCTCCCTGGAATCTCCATCTCATAACTCCTCTCCTGCTCAGTGCGTTCACACACTCACAAACACACACTCATACAGAGAGGAGACAGCCCTGAGGACTTCAGCACCTACAGTATAATACAGCACTCTTCAGTACAGTACAGGACGGGTCTGGCTTTCAGTCGGAGCTGCAAGTGTGAAGATTTCTCCAGGGAGGAAATAATGTGGTAGGTGACCGATCATTTGCAACAGGTTAGTGTTTTATCACCGCACTTGTGTATGTGTTCATTTCACTTGGTTATTCCATGTTAGAAAGACAGAGATGCTGTTTTAATTAGACTGCTTTCGCAACTTGTGTTAAATTGCATACATTTATGGGGTGTTACGGAAAGTGATGTGGCTGTTTCACTTTCAGTGTACTTCTGAACCACAGCCAGTCACCTGTAGCCATGTCGAGTGACGGATTTCTGTCATGTCTTGATAAAAGTTTCTGTCAAAGCTTGTTTGTAAAATGTATTTTTACGTGAGTATTATTTACTGGAAAAGTAAACCACTCTGCCATAGACAAGATGAACTAGTTTGTGCTGATGGAGGACATTAATCAACAATCTTTCCAGGAGGACATCCAGCAGTGATAAAAGCATCAGATTCAGTCCTCCTGTGCAGCCCTCTTTCTCTCTGCCTGTGCTGTAAATGTGATGAGTCTGTGAGATTGATTTTCATGGCTCAACATTCTTCCTTTATACTAAATGATCTTGGATATATGTGTGTGTCCATACAGCACTTCCTGTCTTTATTTTGCTCTCTTGCTCTCATACCTAAATGTTGCATTATGTGAGTGCCAGATGACCACACCTGGATCCTGTCCTACATTGGTGCGGGTAAATATAGATACACAACACACTCCCTGCAAACCTCATTCTGTCATTTAAATCCTTTCGTGTGATGAAGTCTTCTTTTGTCTGCACAGTCACTGATCTTAGGCAAGGCGATAAAGGTCCAGGCTAATTAACGACAGACTGGCAAGTCTGTAAAATCCCCTGGTAACTCATACTGCAGCATGAAATACAGTGACATTTATTTCCCCATTTTGACAAAAGTATTTCAAGTCTTTTGCGCTCGTCGGCAGTACATACAGTATGTTGTCATATACAGGAGACTGTCTGCCGGTGTTTGTGTTAGCTGCTTCTTCAAAATGAAAAGCACAGGAAATAATTTTTATGACTCATCTGTCACATGGTTGATTGTTGCTTGAAGCAAAGGAGGAGTTGCTGTCTTGGCACATGATGCTCATCTCATTTTAAGTGTTGACATCATAGATGGTATATGTACATGGAGATTGATCTTCAGTTCAGTGTCCTGTAGTTTAAGAAAGTTGGGGATGGGTTTCCTCCATCTGGTCGAATGTCTAGAGCCTTACTGGGTTTCTTATCCTTATCCCGTCCTGTAGATTCCTATCAAACCTCTCTTGAAGCAACAGTTAGTGATCTGTCCATTTAATATATAGAGCCAACAGTCGGTTAGCTTAGCTAAGCATAAATACTGGAAACTCCATCCAAACACAACAAAATCCACCAACCAGCACCTCTTAAGCTCACTAAAACCACAACTTTGGGTGTGTATAGATTAAACAAACATATATAACATACATCCAGTCTCAGCTAAGATGGATTTCATTTTTGTGTCATGCACAGAGAGTGTCCAGCCATCGCGGGTTTACAAGACACCACAAATACAGTCGCAGCGGTCCAACATTTAATTTCATTCTAAAATTACAGATTATTATACAGCTTGGTTTAAAACAAAATATTCTGCCTTCTCTTCCAAACTTGACATATAAAATTTGCTACAAAAAAAGGTTTCCATCCTAAAGCACAAAGAAATCCTCATAAATGAAAGACATTTTATTAAAAAGAACATCCCTTATGTCTCCGTCTCATTCTCAGTTTCACCTAAATCACACAACAAACAAAGTCTGTTCTCCTCTGGAGTGGCATTACATCTCCCCGTCTCTAAGGTAACTGGCTGTTGGCCTCATATTTAACGGACAGATATGAGAGCGATAACAAACTTCTTATATAACTCACAGCAAGGAAGCAAATCAGTGCAAATAATTTCCTAAAAATACTGAACTACTCCATCAACCTAGACTTCTTTGATGATGCTAATATGTGACTGTGTGTCACATGAGCAAATATCATCTGAGAATGATCCACCAGTAATTCCTCTCCTTTTTATCAAAGTAAAAGTGCTGTTTTTGAGGGTAAATGCTTCAAATAATCAGTTTCAATCACCCCAAGGTGTGGCTGATTCATGTTCCCCTCACCTGCTGAACGTCAAACTGATCCAATTTATCAGTCAATACTTCAGGAACCTAAATGTCAATTCTGCTTCGCTTGGGTCAACAAGCCTCCGTTCATGTCATGATGAATAGGAAACCTTTCTACTAGATTCACTTCCTTCCCCCATCTCTCTTCCTCACGAGCACATGATTGCCCACATTCATGGGGTTATACCCTCCGCCATTAAGGATAATTGCTCTGGTTGCCCTAGGTGTGAACTCACTTAAGTAGGATGAGGAGCGTTCAGTCTGATACAAAGATGAAGCTGCAACGAGAGACACGCACCACCTCGAGGAAGAGCTCAGGGGAACGATACATTACAACCATTATATCCTCCTCCTCCTCCTCCTCCTCCTCCATGAAGCAGAGTCTCTTGACTTCTTGGGTGCTTGATGACTCCAGACAAAAATATAGTGATGAGAGTCAAATTGATGACTACGGTTTCTTTGGATGCCTCCCTGGGTCTCACTCATTTAGCTTTGGCTCAGTCATCATCCCATGTAGTTGATGCAGAGCGCTTACTATCAAACCCAGAGGAGGGTAGAATTTAATTTCCTTTCTCTTAACTCATCCAGGGCGGTTTTTGTGTGATGTCGCAACATTGCAGTTAGACAAATCTTTTCCTTGAATGGAAACATGTATTATCCTTTATCTTTTTTGTCTGTGCATGATGTATTTATATTTATTTAGATGAGATTTGGCCTGTGAATGTGGTAGAAAGGAAGTGGAAGAGGAGGTGTTATAAACAGTGTGTCATATGATAAACCTTCAGCCCTTCAGCTCCTGTTCAAATGAAGCCATCTGGGAACAAACATGAGTCATAGATCCTATGGTGGATTATACCCGCTAGACCTGATACCTTTATTGCACATCTAATATCAACAGTCTCACAGTCAGCTCAGACCTGATTATTCAACCGTAATGCATGTATTTATACACTCGTCGTTTCTCTTCCAGTCCACTTGCCGCTCTGTCTTTGCTATATTGTTCTGTTTTCGCAGTAATTAATATCATGCAAGCAACATCACAACACCCTTTTTAACCAGTTTTTAACCTGCAGACAACCTGAAAGGAGGAGTGTCCTTGTAAGATGATGACTGATTCTGCCTGCTTATGAGAGGGGCAGCGGTGAGACGTCCAGCTTCTGCAGTAACTCATACTCAGTTTGTCCTTTTCACCAGCACCTTCCTCCTCTAAGGTTCACTGTATGGGTAGATGCTGCTGGCTCTAGATACGTTTCCTGGTTCTCCTTTGCACTTCAAAGAGGAGGGTGAAGTGAGGGAGTTACAATCTGCAACCAAACTGCTAGATGCCACTAAATCCTACACACTGGACCTTTCGAGAAACAGTTTGACATTTTTAGAAACACGCTGTTTGCTTTTTTGAGTTAGAGCTAAGATTGACATCACTCATCACTACTTCTGTCTGTTAAATATGAAGCCACAGCCAGCAACCTTAGAGTGGATGCCTGGTTCTGTCAAAAGGTAATCCCCCTTCCAGCACCTCTAAAGCTCATTAATTTACACGTTATATCTCTTTGTTTAATAGTAAAAAAACCCAAAGTTTTAAAATAACATGTTGTGCTTGTAGTGAGCTTTAGAGGAGCTGGTGTATATTGTTACATTTGCACAGACCCAGGCTTGCTGCATCCCCCATCATCTGCCATTTAGCTTAGCTTAGCATAAAGACTGGAAGTAGGGGGAAACTGCTAGCCTGGTTCTATTGAAAGGTACCTACCAGCACAAAGCCTAAAGCTTAATAATTAACATTTGTTTGTTTAATCTGTACAGAAATTAAATTGTAAAAATTACAAGTCATGATTTATATATTTCTGGGTACAGTGACACATCCACCCATAAAACCACAACTTGTCATTTTTACTCTTTAGTTTTTGTACAAATTAAAAAAATAAGTAGTAGTGTATTAATCAGTGAATGTAAGAGAACTGGCTGGCGATTTTTTTTTACCTTCAGAGAGAGTCAGGCGAGTCGTTTCCCCCTCATTCCTATCTTAATGCTAAACTAAGATAACCTGCTGCTGGCTGTAACTTAATATAGCAAACAGGCATGAGAGTAGAACCAATCCTCTCATCTAATTTTAACCAAGAAAGCGAATACGCATATTTCCCAAACTGTCAAACTATTCCTTTAAAACACCCTCACCAATCCTTTAAATGACATCTTGATCAAAAAATAACTTTTTTTCTCCAGACGTATTCTGATGTAGTCTGAAACCTGATATAAGTGGTGGACTGGTGGTGCTGTATGCTGATCCAAGTTGGTGTCTCTACAAAAATATCCCCTTCTTCCATCACTGATTTGGCTTTGGCTTTCAGTGTAACCACACCCTCTGCTGTTCATTTGTAGAACTGGCTGCAGTGAGGGGAGCAAACACAGGACAGCTTCCCTCTTCAAACAACACATTTGACCTACATATGCACCCAATTAGCAACAGGAGGCTCACCCGTCCATATTACACTATATCAAAGACCTCTTTTTCTGTATGCCAACATGTCTTGTATTGCATGTTTCAAGCGTAACGGACTGTGAATCCGAAGACTTGTTGAGTTGACTGCACTCAGAAACTGATTTCATTTGGTGGCGTAGATGTTTGTACGCTGTCTCTAGCACCATATGAAATCAGTGTTCTGGGAGGTGGACTATCAGCATGTACAGACGTTGTACAATGAATAAACTGAAATTTGAGATGTTCTTGTAATGCCAAAAAAGTAGGTCACATTTGTATAAATTACTGTACTTGCTGCTTCATCCATTCACTAACTGGTCGCAGCTGCTGTCCTGCTTCTTGTTAAATCTTTTTTTTTCCCCCCCTTTCTGCGTCTCCTTTCAAACATACCTTTATCATGAAATAGTTTGGTTTTTTAATGCATTTTGGATATTTATGCTAAAGTATGTAACTTTTCCTAAATAGTGGCTTAACTGGCAATAAAGAGATACATGTAAATGCATTGATGTCCTTTATTCAACAATATCTGTCTATAGTTTGTTAACATTAACATTAGCCACCATAGGTTACAGGTCATAGCAGACCAAGTGAGGCTGTAGCAGCTGGTAGTGGAGTATACTGAACTGAGATTCACAGCATTGGATTGCCTTTGAATTCAACTTTTCATTTGTAAGAGGAAGAACACTGTTTTTCTTACTTTAAATAGTCTTACTTTAAAGGCTCATTCTCTGATTGAAGTCTGGTACTAGCATTCTTTTCATCCCCCATCATTACAGTTTTCTCTGTATAGTATTTTTTCTTTCTACCGATTATGAAATGTACTATTAAGATTTTATCAAAAAGTGACAGATACTTTATACAGTTTTGAGGAAATTAAAGGTTGCTATACATACACCTGTATTTTGTGGTATCAAAAGTGTGAACTGATATGAAGATGTTTGTTGTGTCCTTTATAAATGTCACAGCACCAGATAAAATATCAATAAAGTGCTTCAGTGCAGCTACCTTACATGTCCTTGGTCTCCTTTGTTAAATGGAGATGTGACAGCGCTCTTGACTTCCTGTGTGGGTTATCTTTTCCTTTTAGGAGAAAAGAAGGAAGCAGGAATATCACCTGCTGCTCCTCATCTATATAAACTGATTGATTCAGTCAGTTTCTGTCTCTCCCTGAGCATATGATATAAGATTTGTTGTCTGGGTTAGGTTTTTCTTTGTGTTCATTTTCTTTATATTTTGTTAAATAAATCTTTAGTTGATGGTAGTGTTGTCCTTTCCTCTTTGTCCCTTTAGCTCTACGTTTTCTGGTTTCAGCAGAAATTAAAAGGGCTGGATTTGATCTATCTGTCTTTTTATTGGTTTGACTTAATATTTGCATTCATTATGGAGGAGACCCCATATGCATTGTGCATGAATTTACATTCACATAGCAACATTAAATTAAATGTCAAAATAAATCCTGTGAATAATAAAAAATACATACAGGAGAATCAAAGATAATTACATTGATGTGCTATGAGTCAAAACTTTTAAATGAAAGTTAATAGCAGTTTATTATAAATAATTTCCAACCTCTGTTTGAACCCATCTATTATCCAAATTATAGCTTAAACTACTCTTTACCCCTCCCACCCATCCGTCCTTTTGACCCCCTTACCAGCAACTTGAGTTCTTAGTTCTTTTAAGCTATAAAATTATAAATAGTTATTATTTGGGGGTTTTCTTGCATTTATTTTTCTTCCCTTAAATATTGATCCACCTGAAAGTTCCTTATTGGCCTTGGAAACAGTGGTTGACAATACAATCTCACCACAAAGTCAATTTAGTAGCTGTCTTGGAGCTTTTGCACCAATCTCCCTAAAGATAGAGATTGAGATCTCATGGAACTGTAGATGTATGAAGGTCCAGTAAATGTCTTCTTGTCCATACAGAGCAACTTTAAAATGGCCTCTCCGCCCTGACTTTATGACTACTCCCTACAGCAGTGATGTCAGGCACCTTCATGTGACCTTCAGGTATGTTGATTTAAGTGGAATGGATGGCCCCATTGTGATGATGATGTGCTCTTGAAGGACTGAGCTATAGGGTCCACGGAGCTCATCAAGTCCTGTGTGACTGATGTTTGGGTCGTCCTTTAGGGGACGTTCAAACAGGCTCACGGAGTAGCTATATAGTCTAATCCTGATCCTCCATAGAGGTAAGAAAAGGGTTTATTGCATATTACCAGTCATACCTCAATGTTATATATTATTTTGGTGTAAACCAAGAAATGTGGTGGTCATCGCCATCATAGTTATATCCAGTATTTTACATTTTACAGGCATTGCCTTTATTCTTAAATGAAAGTCGACAAGATACAGTGAAACAAAGACAACACAGCTCAACAAAAGTGAGCAAACATAAAGCTGCGATGTACAAGCAGGTATGAAAATAGATATATATAAACAACATTTAGGCAACAAACACATAGTTATATACAGGCCCACGGTTACTGTATATTATTTAAACAGGGTTGTTGTTATTGTGCTGTAGGCCTCCAAGTTGTGTAAGAGTGTATAGCAGAGCAAAGATGACAGGAATAAATGAATCTGTATATAGAGGTGGTATGTGCATTTATTGGTTGATACAGTATATGTACAGTATTATATAGGTTTCACCTTGGGCCCCAGAAGCCACAATCCAGTGTGCAAGTAGTTACAAGTTAAATGCTTGGGGACACTTTTAGTCATTATTTTAGAAACTATAACCAATATGACAGTTAGGGTTGTTTTTAAAAGTTAGTTTATACTATTTTCATTCAAATGTTTCTCTGCATAGGGCTGCAACTAACCACAAACATTATTATTTTTAATATCAGTTAAATCTGTCTATTATTTTATAAAAATGTGGTCTGTGAAATGTAAGACAATAGTAAATAATAGTCACAAAACTCAAAGATATTCAATTTGAAATTATGTAGAAGCTGAAACCAGAAGAATACCTGATAAATTATTTAATTTAATTTAATTTTCTGTTCTGCTGCTGTATCAAATTGATAGTTTCAGCACTGCTGCACACGCTCTGTGTGAAAATGTAGACCTACATGTTGTTCTGGAGAAGTGGTGAGAACATAAATGTCATTGTTACATGGATAATATGACCTCTATTGTGTTATACAAATTATTTGGGGGCAAGGAAATACGACCAAGAGATTAAATTAATTTCCATCTGGGGATCAATAAATTATTTCTGATTCTGAAAATCTGATAAAACCGAATGATCAATTGAAAGTGGGACAACTTTACATATTTCTCCCCAGCTTCCACAATGAATTAATAGCATGTGTTTATAAATCATGATATTGATATTGTTCTCTGGTTAAACTCACTAAGCTACGTTCAAGGCCCTTTTAGAGAAGGCTCCCTAGCCCCTCCCACCTCATGGTATCCTAGCAGCGGAGCTCTGAGGCCTCTCCTGATTGGTCCATTTCCAAGAATCCGCCATATTCAAACTTCCGCCGTGGTTTGTGTTCTGTTGTCATCGATCTTCTCGATTTCTTTGTACACATCGGGACAGTTTTCATCCGTCCGGACTTTGTCGTTTGTTCGCTCAGCCTAAAGTAAGTAACGTCTCGATAAAACTGATTTCAAAACGAAGCCTCCTGCAAAATGGAAGAAACTGAGGAAGTTAGTGGGAGTACGGCGGGAAACAAAAAGCCTCAACTTCGTCGTATGTCATCGAGGACGTCCACCACTCGGGTCATCAGCGCTGCGGAGCCCTCTCCTCAAACACTGCGGAGAAACAACTCCAAGAAGTAAGTTTACAGAGTCAGAAATATGTGATATAATTATGTGTCATTATTTATGTAGGAGCCATGTTTGAAGTGTAAAGCGGCTTTTAGCACATTTCGAGATAACGTTACCGACTGAGACGGGCTGGTAGGCTAACTGGCAAACGATGCTTTCAAGTGCAGCTCGGAAGTCACATGTTCGCATGTTGTGGCCACAATAATGCACCACTGCATGAACAACATTAACTAAATGTATAAATGCCTGTTTCTATTTATAGATACGCAGAGAAAGAGCATGTAATCATTTATCTCAAGTTATTATTAAAAACTATTTGAAGATATGATCCATTATGGCTGCAACTACAGATTATTTTTATTTTATTATTTATAAATATATTAGTTCGTCGATTAAAATAGTGCATTTTGAGTTACTGTTTAGTCTATAAAATTAAGACAAATTGAGAAAGATATTGCTTGTATTGTTTGACTAAAACACAGCTAAGATCAGCTAAAATTTGGCATTTTTGCTTGATAATTTACTTTAAAAATATCAGTCATGTTTCTGTTTTTTGACTAATAGATTTATTAGACTAGTAATCTGAGCAGTAGACACAATGGTAGTTTAAGTTAGACGCACCAATGAGTTATACCAGCATGCTTTTAATACCTGCAGATATCATTGTATGAGTTTTATATTGTTTACACTGCTGATACAACAGTGGAGCGTACCTGTCTTAGACCTGTACTGCACCTACGGTATATTTGTTCAAGCAGGCTTGTGAAATATTAAACTGCAGATACTGTAGGGTGAAGAAAATACGGAATATTTCTGTTATCTTCACATATATTTACTACAAAGATCCAAAAATCATGTAAGAACATTTTATTCTACATAGTTATTAGCTACATTATTTTTCTGTTTACATGTTGAAAAGCTTTTTGCTTCCTACAAATCATATCTCCAATGACTTTGTTTGCAGATTCATTATTTTCTTGGATTTTCCATTTCCACTCATAATGCCGTTATTTCTAACATGACCTGAAAGCAGGATTACAAGAAGTAGATTGTGTAGCAGTGCGTTCAGCTGACCTTGGCCTTGATGGCACTCTTAGGGTCTCATTCACTGAGAAGAAGACATTGTAACTCTCCATAGCTGCACATTTTTGTCACCATAACAGACTTTTCTATCGCAGCAGAGAGCAGTCCAGCTCCTTATATGGTTTAAAATATGAACATCGCTCAGCTATTATCCACAGAGTTTGACATATTTGAAACATAACAGTGACTGGAACAAAAAATGGCAAACAAAAGGCATCTGTCATATTAACAAAGCTCAAATGCTTCATGGCCTCATCAACAAACAGTCTGTATGCAAACGTCTGTGCTTTATGTGTATGAACGCTTTACAAATCTGGGATTCATCAATATTTTCTTACCTGAATTTGTTTGAAGATGTGAACACAGCTCAATAAAAAGGCTTTAATAGACAACAATATTTAAAAAACTGGCCAAATGTATTTATAACTATGATATTAACATCCTTTCATCCTCATCATATTGTCATAATTAAAATATTTAACTAGGCCTATAAAAGTGTTCCAATCTTAGCTCACAGTGAATAAGAGAATGTCCATATTTAAATGTTTTATATTTGTTTATAGTGACTTGGCCTATAATGATTGGATATTCCCATCAGTTTCTAGTGCCATGAAATTGCACATATGTAGCCCAGGTTCCTGAGGGAAAAAATTTACTCTTTATTCTTTATTATTGGGTTCCCATTAGCTTTTTCTGGCTTTCACCTTAGAAATCATTGTTTTAAGTTCTCCAGTAGTGAAATTATTTTGAGGCTATGCTTTTCTCGTACAACAATAGCAAGGCCTGAATATATGACGTCATGTCAGTTGTTTGTGAGGCACTTCCTGAATTGCATTTGATTCATGTGAAAGGTGCTATATAAATAGGTTTGTTTGATTCACCGCTTTCTCTATGATAAGATAAGATGAGATAAGATGATCCTTTATTGATCCCCCGTAGTAGAAGACACACCTCGAGACAATTGCTAATTGTAAATAAGGCTGAATCAGAATGATTCACTAACATACGCATGTCTTCAAAAGAAGACAAAGAAACATCCTCAGCAGAGTATTTGTTACCACACAGTAAAAAAAACATAAGATAGGCCAATCTGTCACTCCGCAGCAAAGTAGATATAAACTTATGTAACTTTTATGTCTATATTGTGCTTGACCATTGCTTATTTGTCTCATTTCCTTTAGACCTCCACTGCAGAGAGGAAGCTCCTTCACCTTTCTCACTCCTGGGACCCCGTGGGACTTCAGTCTAGTGAGTAAATGTTAAAAAACATAACACCATTATGTTGGATTGCAGTGATCCCGTCCTCCCACCTATGATCTGTTCAAAGAAAAGCATGACCATACATTATTCATATGTCCTACATGTATCACTAGTAATAATTCCACACTGTAATGAGTATTTTGGGGTTCTGTTTCTTACATTTATTGTATGTTTGCTGGAAATGTGTTGTTTGAAATTTAACGAGAATGTGAAAGTAACCAGTTTGTATTCTTGTGGTGCTGCAGAAGAGGAAGCGCAAAGAGAAGGAGGATGACACAGTCAGCCTGTCCAGCTTCGACCTCAAGGTGAGAGTCAGGGCAGCTTCATGTGTGTTGGATGCAAGTCCAGTGTTGCACCCTTGAACGTGTCCTCATCGCAACAAACTTTAATCCTTCTGCATGACTCAGGTACACGTCAAAGACAGACATGAGTGCTCTTGTGTGTTATGAGCTCAGGATAATCCCGCTATCCCTTCTGGCACAAGTGTCTATCTGAGGAAATGATAATGTGGGAAGAAAACCTGAGCCACACTGTCCCTCAGCCCGATCACAGTCTCTGTGAAGTGTTTTTTTTACACTTTTTACACAATATCACCAACTTGTGATTCCATTTTGATAGTATCACAATAAACTTTAATAAAAACCAGCTTTAATATTTGAGAACAGAATGAAACAATGGCACTTTTTAGGGTTCTCACACTTCCTTATACTATATCAAGTATTATATTGTAAGTAAAAAAAGAAAGTAGATGTGACAGAAATGGGAAATATCTAATTTCTTCAGCTGTGTTAAAGGTCAAGTGTGTAACATTTAGTAGGATCCATTTGCAGAAATGGAAAATAATATTCATAGATATGTTTTCATTTGTGTAAAATCACCTATATGAATCTTTTTTTTTGTTACCTTAGAATGAGCCTTTATTATCAAGACGGGCATTCACATCTTCTGTGTGTTTTGCAGCCACAGTAGTTTCTCCTTTGCACTTTGCACTTGCAGACTGCAACTACAGCCTACTTGAGTTTTAAAAGTTTTATTCATTGTATTAAACAATACGGCATTATTCAAGGTGTTGTTACACCACTATTCTCCGCACCAGTGGTTCCCAACACTAGGGGTCGCCAAAGCGTCATCGGTAGTTGCAAAGCCTTCCTGATTTGTAAGAAAATATACATAGTTGGCCTATATGTCAGCATTACATGAATTTGAAATTTTTTACAGCCAAAGAGCTAATAGAACAATTAGAATTATATAAAAAGTTAATAGATATCAGGAAAACTCCTCTCTGATCAATAATCATTGGAAATAATCTGCTCAAAAATCATCCAAATCACTCATTTTACACAAACTTCCTGCAGTTATTGTGTTCACTATTATGGTTCATTGTACAGTTTATCATTTGTTCTCTGCAGTTCTGTCTATTGTTATGCACTAACTATAATATGCATTATCCATACATTATCTCAGTCAGTGGTCGTCTGTTTACTCAATGATAGAAAAGGGGTCCTTTAAGGAAAAACGTTGGTAACCACTGATCTACAACCTCTATACGAACGACGTTAACTGAAGACAGTTTATTTCCTTGATTCCCAGGAACCCAGTAATAAGCGGGTGCGACCCCTGGCCAAAGTTTCATCCCTTGTCAGCTTGATATCTCCTTCAAAGAATGGAGCAGTTCGGCGCTTTGGCCAGACCATTCAGGTAAACGTCATACTCTTGTCAGACTCACTCTACAAATTTACCAGGTAGAAATTCAAATGAGTAGAATTTGTGTTTGATTTCTTCTTTTTCTTCTTCTTCTTAGTCAATGTCATTACGTGGCGATAGTAAGTCACCAGGGATGTCCCTCAAAGCAAGCAGCAGGACTGCAGGTCCCACTCCCACTAAACGCAGAAACAGCACGCTGTGGTCGGAGACGTTGGACGTCCATCAGAAGAGCACATTCTCCACCAAAGAGATCAAGAGACAAGAGGTTCTGCAGTTTCAGCCCTTTTACAGTCCAGATTGCCGCCATCTTAGAAGATCACAGAGCAGAAACATTAACTCTGGTTTCTCTTGTGTTTCTTCTCCAGGCAATTTATGAGCTTTACAGGGGAGAGCAGGATCTCATCGAGGATCTCCAACTTGCACGAAAGGTTTGAACATTTTTCTTTAATAAGAAATCAAAACATATATTGTTTATATATTGCCTTTGTGCTCACACTGTTGGTTTTTCATACGTTTAGGCATACCATGATCCGATGCTGAAACTCTCCATCATAACAGAGGAAGAACTAGCTCACATTTTTGGGGATCTGGATGCATACATTCCCTTACATGAGGGTAAGTTAGCTCTTACCATTCTCGGACTGAACTGCATTAATCGATTACTTTACTTGCTAACAAGTGTTTCTGACCGTGTGTGTGTATGTGTTTTTCTATCTACAGATTTATTGATGAAACTGACAGAGGGAACTAACCCAGATGGAACGGTAGCTCAGATTGGACAGATAGTTATAGACTGGGTACGTATTGTATCACACTTACTTACATATATGTCTATTTACGTATACTGTATGTTGATTTTTTTTTACCTTACTCCCATTATCTGAAAATATAATCAATCTCAGCATGTAAAAAGATTGTAATTGTTGTATTTTCTCAGCTTCCTGGTCTGAACGCTTACAAAAACTACTGCAGCAATCAGCTTGCAGCCAAAGCCCTGCTGGACCAGAAAAAGCAGGACAGGCGGGTGCAGGACTTCCTGCAGCGCTGCCTGGAGTCGCCCTTCAGCAGGAAGCTGGACCTCTGGAGCTTCCTGGATATCCCACGGTCACGTCTGGTGAAATACCCACTGCTGCTGCGAGAGATCCTCAGACACACTCCTCTTGATCATCCAGACGTTCCAAGTCTGGAGAGAGCTGTATGTTATCCACATTACCTACTTTTGCAATCTCAGACAGTGTTGTAGCTTTTATTAAGAGGTTTTTTTCTTTTTTAAAAAATATTTTTATTGAATTTTAAACAAATAAAATATTCAGATGTTTGTAGTGTACAACAGATTTACAAAAAAATAAAAATAAACCTTTTATGTTCATACATTACACACAAATATGTAGACAGACAGATACGGTAAAGAAGCACGTCATACAATGTCGAAAATTAACGAAAAGTCCCATAAAATGAGGGGGTTTAGAAAATTAAACGTATACAGGCTGTATTACTACAGACTGCAGAAAATCAACATAAAGATAAAAGACTAAATGAGAGAGAGGGAATAAGTCTTTAGTATTTCAAGAAAGGTCCCCACACACTGTTTGAAACTTGTTTGAGTTACAAACTGAATCTTCTCCAGTGGTGCCAAAAAAGGGCTACCAGGGGATTATGGTTTTGGAAAAGTCTTTTCAGTATTTTTCCAGGCGATATACAGAAAATATGGGAGGCCGTAGCTGTTGAATCTGATAAATAACACTGCTTTTATTTCACTGATTATTTAATCTTGTGTATTTTGCCAAACAGCACAACTCATAAGTCTTTCTTTAATTATCCAGATCACTATAATCCAGGAAATTCTGTCTGATATCAATATGAGAAAAGGGGAGTCTGAGTGCCAGTATTACATAGACAAACTGGAGTATCTGGACGATAAGCAGCGGGACCCTCTCATAGACAACTGTAAGACCCTACTTTGTCACGGAGAGCTGCGGAACAAGAGTGGCTCGGTAAGAATTAGTCTCCTTATTATTACCTTCCACATGCAATAAGTTCATTATCTGCATGCTGTCTTGTATTCAAATAAGTTTAATTCTTTACCAACTGTGTTACTTCACAGAGGCTGCATGTGTTCCTCTTCTCCGAGCTCTTGGTTCTGACCCGACCGGTGACCCGGAACGACAGGAGCTGCTTCCAGGTGTATCGACAGCCCATCCCAGTTCAGGACTTGGTTCTAGAGGACCTGCTGGATGGAGAGATCCGCATGGGGGGATCCTTCAGAGGGGCTTTCACCAATGGAGAGAAAGGTGGGTTGGGTTGGGTTGCAGTCCATCTGCTGGCAGACGGTCGCAGTGGCTCATTTGTGAGGAGGCATTTTCTCTTTGTGTCCCCCATTAATAGGAATGACCATTAATATTAAGTGTTTGATTGTTTTATTTATCAGGCTAAGATGTCTGATTTCATCTTCTCATATGTGAGGATTTGTTGCTTTTCTCTCTTTTATATAATTTATATTTGGCTCTGGGTTTGACTTTTTAGAGAATAAAGGATTAATAAAAATATTATTCACAGATTATTCTTTAAAGGTTCACATTAAGCGTGTTTAATCATTTGAGTTATACAGTGATGTAGGGATCAGAAAGGTAAACAGAGTATCTTTCCTGCATAAGGAAACCTTTATGGATGCATTCATCGTTGTTTCCATGGACACAGTGAATAAACAAGGCTGCACAGACTCCGTAGTAGCATACAGAGTGAGAATGTAACATACATGTTAACAGCATAATAATAATATCATCATCATCATCTAGCTGTTTTTACTCAGATGTGAAATATGGTCTGAAAAATCTTCAGAAAAGAGAAAATTTGAGTCTCCTCGATCCTGTCCCCATATATAAATATGGTTTTAATATTGCTTGTTGTTGACATTGTTGTCAAGGCGAACCATGTACAGAGCACCTGATAATTTGCTATCAGCTCCTGAATCCAGAAAGAGAATATGTATATAATCTCTGTAACTGTAGGTGATTAAATGTTATTTTGTCGTTCCGGACCATTGATAAAAATCCGATGCAGACTTTTGAGTAACAAGTTCCGGATTGTCATTTAATCCACTGCTATAATGAAAATATGAATTAGAGCATCTTTAAATTAAATGCACTCTGCTGAGTTCACAACTAAACTTTGCCGCCTTAGAAGATCCTGATGACCGTATATCTTTTCTTTCTGTGTCCGTTTTAGCTAAGAACGTTTTTCGAGTAAGCTCTCTGGATCCATCCCATGGTCAGTCCCACACCCTACATGTCAATGATGTCTACCACAAGCAGCAGTGGCTCAACTGCCTACGCACTGCAATGGCCCAACAACAGGGGGCTCCATCCACAGTTCAGCAGGGAGAGACTGTCAGAGCCAAGCGTCACTCCTCCACCATCTCAGCAACCATGTATGACGAGGAGACAGACGAGAACTGCCAGCCTGCCTCTGGCCCTAAACTCAGGCCTCAGACACTCTCCAAAACCAGACTGGACCGGAAGTTACAAGGCTCACTAAAGAGGAAGGAGACTGGAGTGTAGAAGTTTAACCTGACCTAATGGTTCCTAAAAGACAGACGCATGTATGCAACATGTGTCCTCTTTGGTAACGTGTCTGTCGGTGTATTTTCATACAACCACTGTTTGTTGTGCTTTTGCTTTCTTTGTAGCTGCACTGAAAAATCTTTTCCAATCATTTCCGTCCAAATGTGTCTCAAATTGTAGTCTTTAAAAAGTGTAATTAGTTTACAAAAAAGGAAAAAAAAGTGACTTAACTGTGACTCAAAATGTATGTTTACACCAGCTTATGTGTGTGGAAGTTAAGACAACTTTATACCACTTGTAGTTCATGAAATTTAGCTTCAGCGTTCATTCCAGTGTTGACACATTGAAACTTTCTTTGTTTTATTTGCTGTAATCAAAATGTCAGTGCATCTATTTGTTAGACATGTGTGCAGCTGTCCGTTGTGCTATCTGTGCCAAGATAAGGGATCAAGAAACTAAGAAATTGTGTCTGCAGGAAGCTGTTGAGTGACAAGAGTCTAAAAATATTTGAGGTTAGATGAAAGATAATGAACAGGACACGAGTAAGAACACTGACCATGGATACGATATATGAGGTAAAAAAAAAAAACTAGATGTATTCAGTGATAAGTTGTTAATAAGAAAAAATAAAACATTTAGTTTGTACTTGTTGTTTGACTGCGAGATTATGTTACAACACACCAACGTCCTCAAGGGAGGTTGTACTTTGACCCCTTAGTCACTTCCTTTTACTGTTGACAGAGCTGTTCAACAGTGTGTCGCAACATTTGTTAGGCAAACAGAAGTTGAGGGAAATTTTCCACTTTCCACAGTAAGCTCTTACAAGGGTCTTGATTGAGGTTTCCATGTCATATACTGTCTCAAAACATTAAAAACCCACTGAAAATAACTTTTACTGGTAAACTTTTTTTTTTAGTTTAGAAGCATGTTTGATGTTTTTATCTTCTAGCTTACTATCAAATGCTGATGAGTCCTTTGAGAGACCTGTTGATATATGACCTTGGTCTGCCCTCCAACCAAGCTTCTTTTTGGCCTCAAAGACTTTGAATATAAAATAATTTGCATTACTGCAATGGTAGATTTACATGTAGGTAAACTAGATAATATTCTGCTGTTATGCTTGTATTTGCCTGGTGTGTGTTTCACTGTAAAGCTGATTATAATCAATGTTTGGTGAGTCTGAGTGAAACTCTAGCCACTGGATAAGAAACAGATATATACTTATATACTATACTCAACTTGTATTACTATACTTGACATATTGCAGAAAAAAATACAGCAATAACGCCTTTGAAATCCATACAGACAACAAAATGGCAACAGAGTTTCATTAGGAAATGAGAGCACCTGATGAATCAAAAATGAAACTGCATAAAGAGGAAGTATCATTTAAAATGAATTCTCTCCTGGACTGGGACAGATGTCAGTCATTATGACTTCCTCCTGCATGAATAGCTCTGTGTAAATACATCGGCTGACTCATCTGGTTCACCAGTGTAGTTTAGGTGTGGGCATCTGGGACAAGATCATAAAGTCATAAAGTAAAAACCAACATGTCCACGGCAACCTGTGCCATTTGATGTCCTAACGCAACCACAGCTGCACGCCAAATCACCATTTTACTACAGGGGGCCTCTCGTGCAGTGTGAGCTGTTGAACCTGCAGTATTTATAGCTCATGGTGAACCACTAACACTAGCAGCTTCTCAACAACCTTGCTAAAACCAGCTTCCTAACAATTTTTTATGCTTAAGTAAGAAACTGTTGGATGTCTGTCTCCTCTGTCCCATTCATCATCGCCCCTGATTATTCTTTGTAGTAAAAGCAGCTCAACGGTTCCCCAAGGAAAAACATCTCTTACTATCCTGATGCCCTGCAAACTTAACACCTGCTTTCCCTGGAGCTGATCAGTGCAGACAGCTGATAGGGCCGCTGTTGTTCTGGTAATGATCCAATGACATCGAGCTCATTGCTTATTTTCAGCACCTTGAGAGAATGTGGCCGTTTTCATTTTCACCAATTAATCCCTCACCTTCAACCATCTTTATCACTTACACATCAATTAATTAGTCTCAAACGTAATCACTTCTATTTTCTATTTCCTTTTTGGTCCGACACTATCTTTTAAAACCATAAGAAATATACATACAAATGGTCTAGGTATAGAAATCAGGAACAATATCTTTGTAACGTGTGGATTCAGATGATAGTGACAAGTAATACATTTTATGAACTTTATACCAATTCAAGAAAACGTTGCCTCTTAGACTCAATTTGACTCATCTTTTTGTGGCTTCTTTCCATAATCTCCTGCCACACTGCTTTAAAAATATCTTTCTAGTTTACAGTTTACTGTCCTGTTTACTACTATTTGGTTAGCTTTAGAGTTAGTCTGCACAAGTCCTGCCATTGTTTCTGCTGTTGTATGTCCTGTTCTACCACTTAGCTATGGGATGATATCAGGAGTATTTTTTGATCATTTGTGCTGTATAAATAAATATAAAACTTTACCTCACTATGAAGTAATCACTGTGTTCCTAGGAACTGTTGTAACACGTTGTTGTAGTTAGGCCAGTCAAACAGGAAGTAGCGCCTAGTAACACTAACAGCTGCTGTGTTAGACTCGCTTTCAAAATACTGGAGAAACGCTTACATCCTTACAATATCCCATTCATTCATTTGTTCCAACTGCACTTTTATATGTGTAGTTTCGATCCTACAATTAACATTATTTCAATACTTGTATTTCCTCTGTCCAAACACTGGCCACTGTAATTTCTCCCTCTCGCAGTTAGAACGGGAAGGTGAGGAAATTCAGTTGTTTTTTTCAACTACAACGCTATGGCACCGAGTCCTCCACACTGGTCCTTTAATGATTTGAGCCTTTAGAAACATACTTGAATCATCCTGTGAAATCCCCACCAGAAGTTATTAACTATAGACTGTGAACTCCCCCAGATTGTGCAAATAAAAAATAAGAGGATATGACCTGATCCTTTCTGACCACCACTTCTCTTCACTCTGAGATCACATATCTGGTAAAGTGTTGCTGCTGTTCATGTAATGAACATCCCTCTCAGACATTTTTCACCCAATACCAGTTAGGCTCTGTAGCAGCAATTCTTGTTCAGACTAGTTTTTGTGAAAGGCTGCATTTATTATCTGCTCACGGGTGCGTCTCGTTGTCACTGAAGGTTGTGGCTGCACATTGCTCTCATCTTATCTTCAGTAGGTTCCTCTCTAACTAAACATATGTCTGCTTGTGATGTCGGTGCTGTGACAATCTTGATAATGACAGTAGTGATCAGAAAGTTGAAAATACTCTGTTGCACAGCAGTGCTTCTCTTCTGCAGAGCAAACCAAAGTAAACCAAACAACACAAATATATATTCCAGTGCACCCCAGGATACTAAGGTTGACACTGTTTTAATATATTAAAAACAAAATTAAAAAGTAGCAAACTACGGGTTTTGCATGTTGCTTCGTCAGATTCATGACAGTGTCAGTTCTGTGAGGCCTGTTGTTCAGCCATTAACAGATGTCCTGCAGTTTATTAACCAGGTTTCTGGCGAGGTCTCAATAACTGTAGTGTTCAGCCTCAGTTATCCCTAAGAACATTACAGTAGTAATTTGAATTTTATAGTTTACTGAGAATAATTCCTAAGTCTGTCTCTCTGAACTCAATCATATCTGTGATATACTCCACTGTCATGCATATTTTAATTAATAATGATTTCCTTTTAAAGGCATACTATGCAGTTTTCCAGTTCTGTCAAACAGCTACCCCTAGAGTCGCTGCGGAGTACTTGTATTTAACGTTAACTGTCGTAAATACCACTCACCAGAGCCGTCTCTATATACGGCTCTGCGTCTCTGCACTCACGGCCTGTTCCCCTCCCCCCGTATACGGGTACATGTTCAGTAGGATGGAAGCGTCGGACATCGAACAGGCAAATATAGACTCCGAAGATGTCTACTGACCAGGTTACGTCTGAGTGAATGCCTGCTGGTGTTTTCCATTGAGGCTGCTTCTTATGTTGCTGATGTATGTGACGTTGTGCTGTAAAGCAATTTGTGATTCTCGCGAGATTTGGCGGGACGCCACCTTTCAGACTTGCATTGCTGGTTCTGCCAACGGCGTCCCTCTCCTGCTTTTCTATCGGGATGATTCGCTGTACTAAGAGTTCGTTTACCATCGAAATGACTTTGAAGCTGTTATATTAAGGTGAAAATCTTGCAGTGTGCCTTTAACACATGTTGACCTAAGTTTGAGTCCTATTGAGCATTGCAAGCTGGTAAACTTCCAAACTACAAATCAAGTATTTTTATGTACTTTTTTCCTTATTTAAAATATTTCTGGGTGTATTTTTCCTAATGTTGAAGGGCAGTGTCCACTAACTTACATGCGTTTTGAAAATAAATTAGCAGTCTCTTGGAACCAGCATGAATGATTCTGCAATAAGTTTTGACAATGTTACATTATCACGGGTGGTAATGCAATCATTTTCATGTAGATTGGTTTAAAAAGTCTGAATTACCTCCTAATGATAATGTACTTTTGACCCTGTGAAGCAACAGTTTCCTGAAAGAAACATTTGAAAAACAATTCTGAATTTTGATAATTGAAGATCGGTGACAATCGAAGACACACTGAAGAATTGTTTTTAAAAAGTGTCTGGTAGTGGTCTATTTATTTACATAAAATGAATAGAGGTAGAACCATCTGTATTATTTACAAATTTACATTAAAAATAAATAGTTACAGAATATATACAAACACAAACAGTGATATTATCCTAGTAATCAAACTACTTCATGTTCCCTCTGGGTTCAATAAGGTAGTACAGCATCTTTGATAAAATCACACTTACATTCACATTTATTTGGTCATGACAAGCAAGCCAAGTTCATAGTTATATATTTCAAGCTCCATTAAGTAATACTTTTACAAGTTACCACTGACTCAAATGTCTCCAAGTTATGTGACATGGTCGGTAGTGTTGCCCAACCCTCTAAGGATTCATTGTTACGGCCTTACACACCCACACAGGGCGTGTAGTGCTCAGGCTGATGTGATCCCTGCTCGGGTTGCAGGTGGGCTGAGCTATGTGGGAAGTTATGTGAGGTCATCTAAATCCCGGTTGTAATACTGCTGTAACAAGTTCAAAAAGCTACCAGGAAGACCTGTGCTTGATCGACAGTCTGTACGTGCCCATTCAGTCCTGAAAGCAGGTCTGATCAGAAAAAATAATTACACCTGTGTGGGTTTACCATGGGTGTGCATGGCCTTTAATACCTTTAATACTTATTATTTTGGCCTTCACATGAACTGTATGCTTGAGTCTCACCTCTATTAACCTCCATGAGCAGCCTTGTTTCTTGCAAACAAGTTAAAGACAAAAAGGAAAAACCAGCTGTGCACTACCTCCAGACCATGAAGCAGCAGAGCTGATGTACCAGACTAGTAAATGCAATTTATCCCATTTTAATTTGGAGGGGTAAAGAGTCTATTTAAAAAGGTCCAGTGTGTAACATAGCAGAAATGGATTCAAAGGAAGATTTAATTAGTGTTCATTATCACCTGAAATAAAAATAGTTGTTTTTAATCTACAGGTCCCTCTGTAGGGTCCTCTTCTACAGAGTCCGCCATGTTGAGCCGCCATGTTTCTACAGTAGCCCAGAACAAACAAACCAAAAGCTGTCTCTAGATAGGGCTTTCACAGGTTTCACGGCCACCATAGTTTCTCCTTCATTCTTAGAAGGTGAGCAGTATTTAGCTGGTTCACGTCACACCACTAAATCCTACCCACTGGTCCTTGAAGTTATGAAATCTCTGTGCAGCCAATTAGTCTGGCATTGTTAAGCTATTACATCTGTGATGCATTTCTGCCACCTTCAACATCCTGTTGAGCACACCAGCAGAGAGCAAGCAGACATCGCTGGTCTAGAATTAGACTTCTAAGAGCTGCATCTTCAGTTTCCCAAAGTTAATTAAATTTCAATAACTTGAGGTGGCGTGTAAAAAAGAAAACTTATAATGCGTTTGGGCAAGCCTAGCTGGGACACAACTTCACGTGCTCTCATGCCGAGAGCCGCTCTCAGAGCGACTCTGCTGATCTGCTGTAGACTGAGGGGGGTATCTAAGGAAGAGAAAACAACAGAGATGACATTTTATCTGAGCTTGTGGCTGCTCTATATATACTGCCAGTGACAGGACGCACACTTTAAATAAACAAACTTACTCTCATAGAACTCAAGGCAGAGATAAGAGGGAGATCCAAGACTGGTGTAGTGGATGGGTTTCTTGTTCAGGTTATCTCTTGAGTACACTTTCCCCCCAAACTCCACAAGTAGCTCAATCAAGCCAACATTTTTTGTTTTGGCTGCATGATGAAGGGCTGTCTCATGTAGCTTGGCAGCATTTACATTTGCCCCTTAAGGAAAAAAATACAAAACTGTAAGAGAGCAAAATACTTCTCCTGCCTGCAGCATTTGGAAAGGAAGGATAATCATTAGCAGTAAGCATGGAAATGAACCAGCAGTTAGCTGCTAAATAAATAGGCACAAACGTTTGTAGTTCTGTAGCTGTAAGATAAGTCAGTGTAATGTAACACTAGTAACACTTAGCGTAAATTATTAACTCCATAGTCACAGCACTAAAACCATTTTTTGGGTCTCGGTAAAGTAAAAGCACAAAAAACTGCTTCCTCTGTGTAACTTGATTCATTTGAACTGCTAGACAACAGATCACCGGCATCAAACGTGCACATTAAAAATGATCCATAAACAGATTTTGACCCAAAAATATTGTGATATTTAAATTTGACCCAGCTCTGGTGTGCAGAAGACATGAACAGAAAACATGACCTCACCTGCATTGAGGAGAACTTTGGCGCAGTCATAATGCTGCCTTGCGCAGGCTACGTGAAGCGGTGTACCGTAGTGGCAGTCATGGGCCTCCATGAAAGCTCCTTGATCAATCATGAGCTGAACACAATCTGAATTACCTGTTGTGGAGGGCAAAATAACGTCGATTTAGATAATAATTAAATGAAACAGAATGCTCTTAGCACAGCTGGGAAATAAATACCAAGAGGCAGGAGTCACATAACAGAAAAATTGAGAACTGCCAGTTATTAGAGATCCTCCACCCCAAAATGTGTCTTTTTAGTATCCAACAATCACATCCTGTGGGCTTTAGAGGGGGCTGTAAAATGTTTGTACTTTCATCCCTCAGAGTACAGAAGCTGTTGTTCAGCTTGAATAGATTTTGTCTGGAGTTTCACTTTACAGCTTTCTCCTCACCAATCAATGCTGTTTTTCAAATCAATACTGCAATTCTTCATATATTCCAGTGTGTTAGCAAGGATAGCCGGTAGACTTGTGTCCCATAGTCTAACTAGTAATGGTATAATTAAGTTTTTGTGTTGAATCATGACAGACTTTTATGTAATAATCAAGAGCTCAGTAGTCAAGAGTTCTGGTATTTATATTCTTTTCCCCGGTTCTGCTCTCCCTCCCTTTTTTGTCTACCAAGAACTCTGGAAGACGTTTTTTAAATGTTGGCTATTACAGAAAACATTATCCATGTGCAAAATGTTCTCTCAGCCCTATTTAGGAAGGTAACTGAGGAACTTGGTGTACTTGAGGCCTGTCGTGATGACTCATTCCTTCACTGTTTTTCAGAAAGATAACTAGTTCTCCTAGACTCTCCTCCTGCATTCACACAAAATGCTGTGTCATTGCAAGACTGATGAACCAAAGACATCTTGATGTACAAATACAAAGCTAAAAATACATCCCTGTGTGATGTTGTCTTTAACGCACCTCCCATGCAAGCCTCATGTAGAGGTGAGAAGGTAAACAGCGGAGGATTAACTGTTGCTCCATACTCCAGGAGCAGCTTCACACATTCCAGGCTACCAGCGGCACAGGCGTCACACAGCGGTGTGCTGCCATCTATGTTACGAGCGTCCACCTGGAGGACACAGAGCCACAGTCAGTCATGGACTGATGAAGAAAGACCATCAACTTAAATCTCCTGTGAAGAAATTCTGTTGTTGCCTCTGACGGCGATCTCACCTGCGCCCCAGCGTTCAGCAGCAGTCTGACACACTGGGTCTGCCCCTGTATACATGCCTCATGCAGGGGGGTGATGGAGTCGACTGCCACGATGTTAACTGCGGCCCCTGCCTCGATCAACTTCTGCAGCTGTAGGGCCCTGCCCTGTGCGGCGGCCTCGTGCACTGCTGACCGGTCGGTCCAGAATCCAAGACCATGAGCTGCAAATACGTGAAGCAAAACAATCCAATCCAATCCGATCCAACTTTATTTGTTAAGCACTTTTAAAACAACCAAAGTTGACCAAAGTGCTGAGCCTCTCTATTCAGGATGGTTACGTTTCCTGGGTGTTGACTTACGATTAACAACAATCTGTCCTCAAGTTTATTTAGTCATTCTAACCATACAAACATGCTGACAGGCTGAAATATTGTTTGTTTAGCCGCAACCACAAAGTTGGGGGGGAAAAGAACCACAGAGAGTGGTATATAAACTAAGGCTGCACAATTAATCCAAATATTATCCAAATCGAAATATGGCCATGTGCAAACTGTAAGTTGCAGAAGATGTGGTAAAATGTGTGACAAACATTAGTAGTAGTGTTGCAGAGATGCCCGAGTGAAAATAAAAACTGTGCTGCAAAAAGTGCAATATCTAGTTATATATTATCGCAATATGATGTTTTTAATATATCGTGCAGCCCTGGTTATAAAGTCTGAGACAATAGTGATCATAATCATCTACATTAAGTGGCACAATATGGACAGTATGATCCAAGTCATCACACTAACACTACTGTACTGGATTGTAAGGTGTGTTATTGGGACCACTGACCAGCACATTCATACAGATGTTTAACAGTATATATATATACATCTTTAAGTATGTCACATGAGGTCTACGTTTAGTGCCCCTTCAGTGATTTCAAGAACCAGTCGCACAAGCTGCACTACAGTGTCTGCTGTCCTCTCTAACGAGCTTACAGTCTGCTGTCATGCTCTCAAAACTGGCGTCAGCCACTTTAAGAGAGCATGCTAGCTAGCGTTGAGCTGGCTAACGTTAAGTAGCTATACGTCTGACAACACACTGAAAGCTAGTCACCTTGAGATGAAAGGTAATGAAAGCTAATCATTCTAACTACCAGATCACATCCGATCAGTCGCGTCGCTAGCTCGGTTTTTATCTGAAGTTATCCTTGGTTACTGTTGCTCATCAACTCTAAGCTACTTACCGATTTCTCCATACAAGGACGGTCTGGTCCGAGTGATCTCCATTTCATGTTACCGTTTTCTTCCGCGCACACTCCTTGAGATTCAGCCGAACATGTACTTCTTTTTAAGTCGAGGCAGTAAAGGCTGAAAGAGATGCATTATACTGTAAAAACACGCCGGGCAGCGCCGAGTGCTCGGTGAGAGCCGCCGGGGTTTCGGTCCGAATAAACAATAGCTTGGCATGCTGGGATATGTAGGCAGCTGACCTACAAACCAGGAGACCGGTAAAAATAGCAGCTACTACAAACCAGGTGATAGATTTGTGCTGATATTATTATTTAGCAACGCATAAGAAATAAAACTAGTTAATATTTGCTTACTTGCTTGTTTCTTGTGGTTGCCAGGGTGACTGGAGATGAACCTGAGGCTAGCTAGCATTAGCTAACACATTAAAGGGCCTCTCCACTCAGAAATATGATTTTCTTCTTGCTCCTGTAGTTGGATGTTTGAGCGTCACTGTGCACAACAGTGTATGTGCAGAGGTGGACACTATCAGGATGTTTCACTTTCATTTACTGGAAGATGAAAGTTCCTCTGTGCTCATTAAAAATCAGATTTTAAGGGGCGGGGCCTACCAGCATGATTTGTGACATCATAAATAGTTTGGCCCAGTGCACATAAACTGAGAATGGACTTTATAACGGAGGAGGAGACGTCCTGTGTCCAGCAGGGAAACTTTGTATATAGATCCTGCAGCTTTTAATGAGTAGTAACCCTTTAAAAGATTTTAATATGGAAATTATACTTATGTCTTAATACACGTCTGGAGGAGGTCTTTAACATTAGGGCTTTTACGCTGCGTGGATAATGAGTGTTTTTCATGTTTTTAAAAGCTTATATGGCTTATTTTAGCTAGCGTTACACTTGTATAGATTTAGATTGGCTGTGGTTCAAACAAAGCGGCGTATTAGGTGTTCATTTTCAAATTGGGGAAGTGTCACAATATTTATGTGACCATGATTAGATTAAGGTGAATAAGAGTTGCCAGGTTTACAGTGAATAAAAGCTTTAGGCTAACATTGCAGGAGTTGTGTGTGTGTGTGTGTGTGTGTGTGTGTGTGTGTGTGTGTGTGTGTGTGTGTGTGTGTGCAGTGAACTGACATGGCTGTGTAGTGTTGTACTGAAGCCAGTGTATTCCTGAACTCCTGTGGTGTATTGATAACACATCTGTCATATCTGATAAAAGCACAGCAGGTTCAAAGTCCTTGCAGCTTAAAGATGCACTCTTGGATAATGTTAATAGGAACAGTTCTGGGCAGTATGCCATATGACGCGCTAAACCAGTTTTAATTAACGTATGGTACGAACATGTCATATACTGCCATACTGCATAGCTGAAACAAGTGCTCCTTATATAAAAAAAGAAATCAGACCTGTTTTTCTGAATTAACGAGGTACCACCGGCACAGTCTCCATGGCCGGCTCTCAGCCTCCAACGAGCTCCAGCAGGCCCATGAAGGGCTTTGTCTTGCCTATCCTTCGACCCCCTGATACTCTGCTGGAGAACCAGAGGGAGGCAGGAACACGTGGTCCGTTCCCATGGCCCAGTGCCTGTTCTGGGAAAACAGCTGAGAGCAGTGGGCTCTTGAGGCCTAATGTTACTCTACACTTCCCTATAGTGAAGTGTATGGATTTACAGACTGGAGCCTCTGTTAGTGAGATATAGATCCTCATTATATATGCTTGCTTCTGCTATGAAACGTCTGTATCCTCACTGCAATTATGCATAATTCCTTAAAATAAATACATGTTAAATAAAAAATCTAAAGTTTGATAAACCACAACTTATATTCAGTATTCCTATTTTCAATGCCATAAACTGTCAAATGAAGTAAAACCGCACAAAACAGAAGCCCATGTTTCTCAGTAAGTAAGACACACGACTCAGCCACAATAAACATTTCATATTAATTTTAGGTCAACATACAAATAGTTTAAAGAACCGGTCTGTAGGATTTAGTGACATCTAGTGGTGAGATTTACAGATTACAACTAACTGAACGCCACTCGCATCTGTATCCGACAGTATTTGGGGAATGAAAACATATAGGAGAAACTATGAATCTCACGAAAGGCCCTGTCTACAGCCACGGTTGGGTTTGTCCCTTCTGGGCTACTGTAGAAACATGGCAGTTCAACATGGTGGCAACCCACTGCCTATGTGGATAAAAATGGCTGATTATAAAGGCAACAAAAACACAACAATTCTTGTTTTTAAGTGACTATAAACGATGAAAACATACAAATGAATATTATTATAATATATAATATTATATTTAATTAAGATTTAAAGGATCATTAACCTCAAACCAGGTTAATAATCACTTCGTATGATTACTTATAACTACCTTAAGACACATTACCTGCAAGAACTCAGCCTTTAAGCTTTAACCTTAAGCTGTGTTGCTGTGACAGTAAAAGTTCTTCAGTTCATTCATGTGGGTCTAATATGCTAAATATGTGTCAGCACTGCTCCTAACTTCCCTTCCCCTTTAAAGCCTCCTCCAAAACTACACCACTACTCCTCTGAAGAGTAACAAATCCACATTAAATACCCCTCCGAGAGGCTGCAGCGTGGACAACAAGCAGGGTTTAGAAAACACAGGGGTTGTTTTTTTTGTTTTGTTTTTTATTGTGTGTTTTTTTTTTTTTTTGCCCGGTTTCTTACAGTTAGCAATCATTAATATTTCACTGGAAGCAGGAAATAGAAGTGAACCGCAGGCGCAAACAAGCCTCGGAGCTCAACTGCCTCACCACCGCCACAGTTTGGTGTAGACTTTCAAAATGGATGCTTTCCCCTCGATAGGTTTCTGTTTCTTTTTCGCTACGGACTGTACATGCGTGGGTCAACGCGGCGTGGAGGACTGACTACATTTCATAAATATACGGATTTATCACCCGCGAAACGATAAAAGTGGATCCTCCAGTGGATATTTTTTTGTTGGCGTTTGTTTCCTTCGCGTTTGCCACCAGCTAGTTATTTTTTAACTTCCTGGTTGTCGCATGAATATGTCTGTTGAAACTGCGGCGAAAGCTCAAGTTACTTGTAAATGCTCGTCGGACACGGGATACATGAGACTTTATAATTCAGTTGTGATGTTTAAAACCAGAGACGGCTGTTTTCAACGAAGGGCAAAAGGAGAACGACAGATTTCGTAAGAGTCCAGCAATGGAAAGTGCAAATGGTGGTGTCTCGAGTAAAGGTGATTTTCTTCTCTCTCTTTCTCCCCACCCCACCACCAACACCAACACCAACACATCCTGCTTGTCTCGTGTAACTTTCGCTTTTAAGGTTTAAACCAGACAAACGTGGCTTTATCGCCCACCCTAGTTAAAGGTTTAAGACTGTAGCGGTCTGAACCGAGCCGCTGGTTGTTGTGTGGTTGGACTGGAAAAGGACGCGTGGATTAGGTGTCGTCTCTCTCAGTACAGACAGTCCCAGGCTTGTGGAGAATAACTCGGGAAACTTTTTCTTCCCCCCCCCCCCCAAGAAAGACTCAATTTGTAATGTAATTTCGCCAGATTTGCTGCTGTGTTGTGCTCATGTTTGTGTTTTTGTCCACTTTTTTTTTTAGGTGTTTTAGTACATGTGTCAGCAAGTTCTGAGGACTTTAAAAACAATGTGTTGGCTCCACTGAAAAGTGCGTATTTGTATGAGGAGTCCAAGCAGTCCTTCAGATATAAATCCGCTGTCTTAATAAAGAACCCGGCGCTGGAAAGAAAGGTCAGTCTAAATCTTATTTGGGCCCCACCATTAGATTATGGCCACATTTTAATGGTTAAATTCAAGTTAGTTCACATTTAATCAATAACAGCACATAGGATGATATCATTAGAAATATTTTGTGCTCCCTTTCTTTTGATTGCTGTCATCGTTTTAATCTTTAGCAGTGCATACGCACAGATTTATTTTGATATCTTTTAATATTAATACCTGGGCAGAGAATAAAGCCTGTAAGTAGGAACTGTCCTTTAATGTTGTGAGAGGAACCTGAAACCTGAAATCAAAATGACATTTTACAGCTTTCAAACCGATTTCTTCTTTCTCATTTTGTACGTCAGTATAATGCTTTCCGAGCCAGAAGAAGAGAAGAAGGATATTCAGAGGAGGATCTGAAGGAATCTTATGGGTTTTTGCTGTTTGATGATGTCAACAAGGTGAAGGCTTAAAACACAGGCACACCTAATAAAATACATGTCCAAACAAATCTTAAGACTTTGCTGATATCGATATTTGATATGTGTTTAAAGGCTAATGCACTTGGAGAAACAGGTGTGCTGGCTGGAAACAGCACGTGCACAACTCTGGGAGATCCCTCGAAAGGTAAATTATGATGATTTATGATGATCCCCCCCCCCCCCTCCTCCCTTCGTCCCTTCCCCATGCTGCTACTATGCCAACCAGTAGTGAGATCACGGTGACATGTACAGTTCTGCCATGAACAAACAAGAGGTCATATTTCTATGCAAAAAAACACCCAGTTAAGATTTTTGTTGCTGTAATGTATGACTTAGATTTACTTACTGGTTACTTGATTTAAAACAAAATTAGCAAAGAATTACATAAAGCCTTTTCTCATTAATTCAAAGTATTTTGATCCAAGTTATTACCTTGATGGTCATATCCGGGAAACACTGTCCATGCAGCCGGTCTGTCCAAAATATATGTAGTGCAGATTCAGTGAAGGAATAGTGCAGCTGTGTGTCTGGTGCTCCCCTGCCTTTTGAAAGTGAAAGCAGGCTGAATGTATCAATCTATACAAATGAAAGTGGAAGAATGTCTGTTGTGAAACAGAAACTATAAGTAAAATGCATTAGACAATGAATCCAGCCCTTATTGGCTGTTTCACTGTTCACTGTAATGCTCAGTGTTTCTCCTTTATCTGTTTCTTTAGAACAGTAGTATGAAACACTGAAGTAGCACATGAAAACAAGAGCTCCATTGTGTCACATGTTATTGAATGTAGCACTGTTGCAGGGGGAATAACCTGTGTCTGTCTCACATCTGTGCTTGTTTTGATCTGTTTCCGTTCTTCTGCAATTGCAGAGGCTCTTTCAAGCAATACCTTCTCATAACAGAAACATTTATTATAACCACTACGATGGCAGTTCTTTATGGCTTACATATATATTTTTAAAAGCTATACTGTATTTTATACATGCATATATATAACTTTGAGAGAACACTGCTCGTGAGGGAGTATAAAAAACACACAAAACCTGCCAAACCAGTTATTGGCTCTTTGTTTGGCCTCCTACATTCAGATTTTTTGTTTTCAGTGACTGAGAGAGCTTACCTGAATGTAACTCATTGTCCAGTGTCTAATCTATGCTCATCATATTTCAGTGCTTTTTTTATGATCTACAGCTTTGCGGTTCTTGCTGTTTTTTTATCTTGGAATCGCTTGTTGGTGTTTAAAGTACACATTAAACATGTGGTGTGTCTTTAACACATTCATCTGTTAAGGTGTGGCCTTGCTGCTTTAGGTGTGTCAGTTGTTTTTCAAAAGACGTATCAAAGTTATGAGGTAAACATTGTAGGTTTTTTATGATGACGTCACGTCTTAATAAATGACCCTCCCTGTATTTATTTTGAACTGACCACGCACAAAGTGAACTTTTCTGTGTCTACTCAGGTGTTTACATATCCATGTACTCTGACTGTTTGGATCAAAATCGCTGGTATCATGGAAAATCTGGATACATTGCCATCATCAGGCTGACAAAGGTATTGACAAAAAACAAAGTAGAGAACTATTTGTCTGGCTCATTGTGTGTTCATTCAAAGAAAATCATCTATAAACAAATTCATTTGTCCTTTGTTGTTGCCAACAGGGAAGAGTTAAAAGGGTTTTAGAGAACTACACACAGAATTTCACCGCGCCCACTGAGGGGTTTGACTGTCATGTGTCAGAACAGTTGCCTTCAGTGTCCTCTAAAACCAGCTCCTTTCTTGCCTTTGAGAGAACCCAGGTAAGAAGAGGCATGTTAGAGCACAGTTTTCCCACTCTCCACCCCACTTTTATATAGAGCTACCAATGCACAGAAAATGTAGGTGCAAGTAAGTTACACTATTAACACATAGCACGCTATACTGATTTCACTGAAAGGTTACACATACCACTTGTTGTAATGCCCAGATTTTGTGGTGGTTGTGCTGTCTGTGTCTTTTATCTGTCTCTGTGTAGATGCATCCTTTTGAGCAGAATACTGTCAATGCTTGAATACATGTTGAGAAAGAAAAAAATGTCAAATGCCTATTGTTTTGACCCTGCAGTATTACATGTATGAGCTGCCAGGTGATGGAAGCAATGACACCGCTCTATCTCCCAGTGGTGCCTGTCCTTTTGCCATTGTGCCATTTTCATACACGGATACCAAAGCAACACTTGTAGCACCACAGGAGAAAAGGTATGATGTCATCACTACTGCCACCCAGCCCCTGCCCTGATTGGTATATGATGTATTTGAACAAATACTATTTTAAAATGAAAATATTAAAGTCATTGAATAACACGTAATGTTCCCTGATTTCTCTTTTTAGTGAGGAGAAAAAACTGGGTAAGTAACATGTAATTAATGGTATGAGACAAATACATGGCATTATATTAATAAAAGAATCATAGACCTATATTTATTTAAATGATTTATTAGCAAGAATCATATTTAATTTACTGTTATGAATATGCCCCTCATTTTAAATTGTTTTATTTGATTACTTTTTTCCCAGTTTGTCATTACTTTCCGTGGAGTGGTCAACTTCAAATAGGCACGCATTGCTATGATGTTGGACTGAGGTCTACTGCAGGGGCTTTGATCCCTGCTGAATTGTAAGTTAAATGTATACAATGAAATACATACTATATTCTAATATGACTGATCATTTTGATTATATAATTATTATAATAATTTTCTGTGCTTTGTCTTATTTTTACATTTAAGGCCACCAGTGGTTAAAGTTGACAGAGCCATTTCCATGTTAGATCTGAGACAGCTGTTGCCCAGGACGATCTTCGAAACCTGCCTCTCTGGTGAAGGTGTGCTGTTAGAAAATGTAACAAAAAACTGCTTTATTATGCAGGAGTTACATTTCATCACAATTCCTAGATTTATTGAACTTATCATTGATGAATTGGGCTTTTTTTTCTGTCTTTCAGTCTTTCTGGATGGTTTACACTGCAGTCTGTATGAGATGGTTTCTTCTGAGGTGGAAGAAACCAGCTCACTCTCTCTGCTTCTGTGGGAGATCAAGGAGAAAGATGTTGTGAGTTTTGGGTTATTATCAACCTTTCAAGGGCTTTGTCATTTTCTTCTTTTAAATGTCAAAAATGACCACACCCATCACAATTAATCAGAGCCCAAAGTGGTGGTTTATGCATTGTCAGTCAAACATTTGGTCAATTGATCAGCTAATAGTTTCAGCATTGGAAATTTCTTCCTTTGTACTGTATATCTCTTTACAATGCATGATAATAGTGTTTCCCAGCAGTGGTGCTGTTGTGTGTGCCAAATGTCCATAAGCATGTGAGCAACTTCACTGAATCCTTTAAGCTTGGAAGAGGAAGGTGAAGCGAGGGAGTTGCAATCTGCAATTACACTGCAAGATGCCACTAAATCCTACACACAGGAACTTTTAAAGGACTTTTGAAAAATTAGGAGAGGGACCTAGCCAACCATAGGGTGATATTGTGTAAAAATCATGTGTAGCCTACTGATACAAATAATCTGCAGCAGCTGTGCATGTTGGGGAAACATTGTATTGTGTTGTTGAACTTGCTGTCCAAAATCTATACGTGACAAACTTGCTAATTTGTGTACAGGCTCTCATTGTTCCGCTGAATGATGGTGGTTTTCTTATCCTATTGCACTCCTCCCATTTCTTCACATATGATGGTAAGATAAGAAAACTATGTTGTCCGTCAACAAAATCTTTGTTAAAAACCATTATTCAGCTTCATATGAGCCATATATCTTTGTGATTTTTCCAGATTCTGGGTCCAGTGCAGCTGAGGTTCTGCAAGGCATGTTTGTGTTTCCAGAATCACGAGTTATATATAGAGGTGATTACAGCATGTATTTAACTGTGAATATTTTCATTTGAAACGTTTCTCCCATTAAATAAATGGTTGTTTAAATAAAACGACATTGGCTCTGCTCAGGGGCACTTCTAGTTTATGCTTGTTTAGCGTTAATTAAATTTTATGAATACAAAACAGAGTATAAAACAAATACTATTTCTTGATTTATCACAGGCACAAAAGGTGGACAGAGGAAGCCTGCCTTGTCATCAGAAATCCTGCGGGTTTTGCCAGTACTAAGTTATGCAGAGGGCGAAGTTGAGAAAACACCGATTGACCCCAGTGAAGAACTGTGTGAAGTATTTGCACAGCATATGCAGAGTTACGCGGCACTGATAAATCCTGGGTTGGCATTAAGTCCCTCTAGGGACATCAGCATCTTTCCAGATCAGTATGATGTACAAGATGCCCACAAGCACCTTTACTCATCTCCAGAGTGGACTAACAGGGCATGGCAGAGCTTTAGGTCATACCTGAGCAAACCAGACTCTTTTCAACTGCCAGTGTCCAAGGCTTCAGAAATCCTGGCAGCTGGACAGCAGGAGCGAATAGAAGACCTTGACGATGATGTCTACTTTTGTCTGTCATCTCCTGAGGAGGCACCAGCCAATCATGTTAGCATGGATTCAGAAGACCAGTTGACAGACCAGAAATCTGGTGTAAATGTTGAGACATCTGTGGACAGTTCTATAACAAGTGCTGAAGCACAAGTGGACTTGACAGCTGTTTCTCAAAATGCTGTACCAGATGATCTGCAAGCTGGTGATGCCACCAAAGACACGAGAAAGTCTGACCTGACATTGCTGATCAAAGCTGATGATATGGGGGCAAAAAATTCGCTGACTCCCTCTACATCAGATGACCTCCCTGCAGAGCTTATTGTCAGCATCACTTCAGCAGAGCGAACTCTCACTGCTAGGAGTGTGATTAGTACTGAGTCTGCTGATGAGACTGTTAAAACCAAAGAGGTTTTTGATTGTTCTGAGGTCACCAATCTCACCAAAACAAATGGTAGGAAACTACACAAGGAACATTCCAAAGGTCAGAAACATGTATCTAAAGCTTGCAATGAGACTCCCAGTTTACAAACAGTTAATATGCAAGTAGAAGATGACAACTTGAAGAGTCAGAAGGAAGACCAGGCAAAGGTATCATCAGGTCACCCACAGTTAAGTAATCCTTCAAATACTGACTGGAGGAAAGTGCGAAGGCGAAAGCGCATATTTGGAAAACTGTCAGCAAAAAATAAAAAAGTGAAATCTGCTATTATTGATCTAGCAGTAGCAGAGAAGAAAAAATCCGACCCCGAACAGCAGAGCTTTAAAAGCACTATTGTAATGGAACTTGATCCTTGTCCTCACAGAAAGAAAACTGAGCGCTGGGACTTAAAGCCAGTTATCAGCACATGTGGAAGGATCTTGGTACCTCATGGATATGTGGATATTGCTGATCAGATTAAGACTTTGAAGGATAAGAGTCTATCTACAAAAGATGAACAGTTCCCTGAAAATATGTTGGTTGATGACTCTGTGAATGCTGAGGACCGAGTCAAAGTGGAGAAAGAGTCTAGCACTGCTCTGGAGACAGCAGTGGACAAAACAGAGGCCACAACATCTAAGGGTGGAGGGAACCATCCTCAAAACGTTGATGTCAGTAACGTTAGTCCTGAACACAGCGTTTTGAGACAGTCGGAAGATGGTAGTGGTTTGTTAACTTTGAATTCGGAGAGCAGTGAGCATCATTCTAAGAATGATGGCATAAACACTCCTTTCAAAACAGTTCAAGAAAAACACACTGATACCCCTTCCTCTGGAAAGTGTGCAGCAAAGGGTGAATTTCTGTTGAGTAAACTAAAATCAGTTCTTCTCAGGGGAAAGAGAAAAACAAGTGTCCTTGTGTCAGAAGAAACAACTGCAGATACTGCCCAAGACACTCAGCCTTGTCTCAAGAAGGGCAAAGTTGACTCAGACTCTGGGAAGCTGAAGAGTAATGAAACAATTAACCCCAGCGTCCAGGAAGTTTCAAAGATGGTTTCAGTTGACCCTCTTTTTGCATTTGCTCTAGGCCTGACTCCTAAAGAGACACCAGATAAGATACAGAAATCTCAGGGCCAGGATACTCAACAAAGGAAAGACTCATCAGAGACACAAGAACAAACCATTTTAGATAAACAACCTCAAATCATACAAAGGCCTCTATCAATTTTCCCAAGAAGGAGTAGGATTAAAACACTCAAAAAGCATCAAGGCGTATCTGCAGAACATGTTCGAAAGAAATGTAAGTCATATTTAAAAAATCTGAGATTTGGAATGCTTGTTTTTTGTATATGGTTTATATAATCTCTTCACTGTTGTGCATGATTGTATTGTGAATGGCATTGAAACCAACTAACCCTTTTCTTGGCTCTGTCACTTCTGCAACTGCCCTCAGCATGCTATCACTGCACTTTGCTAAGTATTTGCAAGTTCTTAGTTTGCTTTTGCTCTTCTCTTGCTTGCGTTTTTGCCCGTCCTATGCATCTGCACAAAACTTGAAATTATTGGAATTATTAATAAACCAATCCTTTTGAAAGGCATAGTTTCTATGTTGGTGACAAGTTTCTTATAGCAATACATTGGTACATTTCAAATGCTTTCAATGTGCAACTTTCTATTTTCATGCAGTTTCTCTTTTTTCTCCTCTGTTTTGTCTTCACAGGGTGGTTGCATTTTCAAACCCCAGCTTGTTTTGCCAGTGAAAAACTCAAATACAAAGAGTGTACTAGGGATAATTCTGTCAGGAAGACTGTTAAGGAAAAAAGTAGCAGTGCTTGCTCATCTACAGATGCTTTGAACTTACTTGCTGACTTGGCACTCAGTGCCAGTAATGACCAGGTTCCACCACAACCAGAGCCAGCACTTGAGAGAGAACCTGAGACAAGTTTGAAGAAGTGTGACCTTACGCTTACCAGTGCTGAACAAGAGTCAGTTCTTCATGCTCTGCTTAGACAGCCTGCTGCTAGACCAATTCAGCCTCATGAGTCTCCTTCACCAAGCCATCTTGTGGGAGGCAGTGAATTGGTTGGTTTGGTATCCAAAGAACATGCTTACTCATTGCCCCCGTCTTCCTCTCTACTGTTGGGTCTGTCAGGTACACCCTTCCAGGTATCCCCTTTAAGTGGTTCTACCAGGCTGCTGCACCATCACCAGACAATGTATGGAGATGGAATTAAAACACTACATCCCTGTGTCGATCAGGAAGACGGAAGTGAACACAACAGCAGGTTCAAAAAACACATGGTGCGCCTAAGAAAATTCAGGCACTCACGTACCTTTGTTAACAAGGATGGATCTATCCAAGTCACAAGGCAATGGAAAGAAAACTATGACTTCAATCTCGACAGCAAGTTTACTTGTGACTCAAAGGATAAAGCTATCATCCGAGCCTTACATGGGTATGTACATTGTGTTACGTATTTATACAAGGAACCTCAAAAATAAAATTAAAAAAATGTATCTTTTCACATAATGTCAGTGTTGTACTTGTTTGTATCTAGTTGTGTGCAATATGCAGTAAGTTGACTTTTAGTTCAGATAATATGAACATTAAATATTTAACTGAAAGAGCTCATGTTTTACTTTACCCCTTCTACAGCCCATGGGATTACACCATTCAAGATACCAATGAAGAGGTGCGGCTCATTGTCCACATGTGGATAGGTCTTTTCTACAGCCGGTCAACAGCCAGGTTCTTTCATGTTGACTCAAACTCTTCAGAAGGAAGTGATTCTTTGGAAAAGTCACATGGAATGATGTCAGCCCCAGCTCAGACTGAGTTCAAGGCTGATCCATTTGCTCCTTTCCCGAATGTGACAGATACTACAGACACTTTGATTTCAAAAGCTCTGGACCTCAGCAAAAAAAATTACTCTGTCTTGGACCAAGGAACTGTGATTTTGGACTTGTCACTGAGAAACTCCAGTGCAGAGATTGTCACTTCAGATCCACAAGTCAACAAAAAAATGACTTTTGTGTCTGAACAGAAAGAAGCTGGTGACACATTGAACTCTCTCAAGTCATCCATGGAACCACAGAACGCAAGCACATTTCAGGTTTGGGTCTTATGTTGTTATGCTGTTTTTGTCATGATTTTCTGATGGTCTTTGGAATATAGGATAATTTAGGGACAGGGTTTGTGAGCTTGTGATGAAATAATAGGCATACAATCATTGGCACAATGAAGGTACTACTTATTAACATTAATATTATCACACCCACAAGGCGAGTACCCTGGATGACTACAGAAAAGGAGAGTCCAGCTTCTAGCCAGGGGCACAGAAATGTCCCCAAGTACATATAATTTGTACTGACGTGTAATGCACATCAACCAGATGGACTGCACATACTGCTGCTGATGTACTGTATGATGGCTGCAGGGACTGAGAGGAAATGCCTTCATACATCCTATTTATTGTATTAGGGCAAATAGTTGTCAGGCAGCTACTATTTGGACTCATACTTATGTTAATGCTGACACAGATTTCTAGTTAGTATTGAACTTAATATAAAACATCTGTAGCTACCTGTAATTGTGATATATAGCATTCATTGAATTGTTGGTACATCAATAGCAAAAGTAACCTTGAAGAATCATGGCAAAAGATGAATTGCCAGAGAAAAACAAAAGTCACAGGTTTTAATTTAATTTATTATGTATTTCTTATTGTATTTTGTCTTTCTTTTTTCAGTGTTACAGAAAGAGTGAACATGCCACTGACATTATCAATGAGATGAATAATGTCCAAAGCACCACGTCAAATAAGAGGACTTGTACCCTTTTGCAAAAAGCTGGCTGCCTGGAGCACACTGATGTACCACCATTTAAAGGTGGTGGGATATTCATTTCTGTTCAGGAAGATATGGTAAATGTATCAGGTCAGCCAGGAAACCATCAGACTGCTCCAGGAATTGGCCATGTGTTACATGGATGCAACAATGAGAAGACTGATATGAAAGATGGCATTGAAAATTCACAAGCTAAAGAGAGGATTTTAGTGCAAAGACAGGGATGGGATTCTTTCAAACCTGTGACGGACAAAGACTCCAACAAAAAAGCAGGTGATGTGGTTCATGTAACTGAGCCTGATGAAATTGAATCCAAAGATGGAGAAAACAGGGAAGTGAAAGAGAAGCCATACCAAGAAGGCACTATGAAACTTTCTCCAAAAATGATTCATAAAGGTGATGAGTCAACGAACAAAGAACCAGGTATAGTCTGCAATGGAAATATTTTGGAGAATGAGATGCAGTCATCTAGGGAGGAACCTAAAACAGTCTCACCAGACATGACTGAAAATGTTAATGAAGATATGGATTGCTTTACAGTACATAAAGGTAAAGTGATAGAAGATGATCACTTTGGAAGAGAAGATGGACTTGATAGGAAAGATTGTTGCATTTCAGATGTAGAAGCTCACAGTGATTTGAATAATCAACCATTACCTATGAGTGATGGCCCAGACTCTGTAAAGGAGGATTGCGTCACAGAGTGTAATCGCAAAGCACCATTGGATGAGCATCCTTCTAAAGTAGACAACAAAGAAGATGCCCCCCATGATTTGCAGTTGAGAACACAGTGTGCAAACGGCAGTACATTGACAGAAGAAAATGTCATTTCAGAAAAAGCTCAACCAGGAATGGAGCCTGTTCATAATGAACCTACAGTTGAGGAAAATCCAGAAAATGGTGTTTGTTTGGCAGAGTTGAATGTTCAGCCATTACCTATGAGTGATGGCCAAGACTCAGCAAGGGAGGATTGCATCACAGAGTGTAATCTCAAAGCACCATTGGATAAGCAACCCGCTCAAGCAGACAACAAAGAAGATACCCCCCATTATTTGCAGTTGAGAACACAGTGTGCAAATGGCAGTGAATTGACAGAAGAAAATGCCATTTCAGAAAACGTTCAATCGGGAATGGAGCCTGTTCATAATGAACCTACAGTTGAGGAAAATCCAGAAAATGGTGTTTGTTTGGCAGATTTGAATGATCACCCATTACCTATGATGTGTGATGGCCCAGACTCAGTAAAGGATTGCATCACAGAGTGTAATCGCAAAGCACCATTGGATGAGCAACTACCTAAAGCAGACAACAAAGAACATGCCCGCTATGATTTGCAGTTGAGAATACAGTGTTCCGATGGCAGTGTATTGACAGAAGAAAATGCCATTTCAGAAAAAGCTCCAACAGGAATGGAGCCTATTCATAATAAGCCTGCAGGTGAGGAAAATCAAGAAAATGGTATTTGTTTGGCGGATTTAAACGATCAACCATTACCTATGATGTGTGATGGCCCAGACTCTGTAAAGGATTGCGTCACAAAGTGTAATCTCAAAGCACCATTGGATAAGCAACCTTCTCAAGCAGACAACAAAGAAGATTCCCACCATGATTTGCAGTTGAGAACACAGTGTGCAAATGGCAGTGAATTGACAGAAGAAAATGCCATTTCAGAAAACGCTCCATCTGCAATGGAGCCTGTTCATAATAAGCCTGCAGTTGAGGAAAATCCAGAAAATGGTATTTGTTTGGCAGATTTGAATGATCAACTATTACCTATGATTTGTGATGGCCCAGACTCAGTAAAGAAGGACAACATTACAGAGTGTAATCGCCAAGCACCATTGAATGAGCAACCACCTAAAACAGACAACAAAGAAAATGCCTGCTATGATTTGCAGTTGAGAACACAGTGTGGCAATGGCAGCGCATTGACAGAAGAAAATGCCATTTCAGAAAACACTCCATCAGGAATGGAGCCTATTCACAATAAACCTGCAGTTGAGGAAAGTCCAGAAAATGGTATTTGTTTGGCAGACTTGAATGATCAGCCAATACCTATGATGTGTGATAACCCAGACTCAGTAAAGAAGGATTGCATCACAGAGTGTAATCACCAAGAACCATTGGATGAGCAACTATCTCAAGCAGACAATGAAGAACACGCCTGCCATGATTTGGAGTTCAGAAAGCTGTGTGGAAATGGTAGTGCATTGACAGATGAACATACTATTTCCGAAAAAACGCCTAACACTCAATCAGAAATTTATAATGAAACTGTAGCTGAGGAAAATTCAGAAAAGGGAATTTGTTTGGCAGATAAGGCACATTATCAGGAGGCAGCATTACCCACGTCTGATGAGAGAACCTGTTCATTAGATGGGTCTTCTGCTGATGGGTCTATTCCCCAGATAAATGACAGTGTTGAAATAGGAAGCCCAAACAAAGTAATGGCAAACTTCAGCCTAAGTAGTGCTGATCATGAAGATGGTGATGCTAAATCAGTTGAGGAAGTCTCTCATTTACCTGAGTGTAAGGGTGTAACAAAATCTGAAGCTGAAGTGACATTGCCTAAAGAAATGGCTCTCAAAAGTGATACAATAAACAAAGGATTGGAAAAGATCCATTGTCGGGTTGTAATTCCATTTATTGGAATAGACACCTCTGGAGAAGATGCAGTACAACCACATGACTCACACTCAGAATGCAAGGTTGAAGAATTTCAAGGCCAAAAAGGAATACCATTTATCAGTGATAGTACTTACCCTGATACTGTGCTACCCACAGAGATATGCAGTACATCTCAACTGTACAGTAATAATTCAGAACTGTTTGATGGCAAAATATCACTAAAACTTCTTGATGTAAGTGAAACCAACCAGCCAGAGGTCTCGGGAAGTGAGTCTGACGACCGGTGCCCTACCCCAACTATGGATGAGAAGCCATATCAGTATGTAACTTGTTCTGGCCCTAGTAGTAGTTCTGTCTTTAGTGGTAGTAAAACTGGCAAAAACATGACTCAGAAATGTCTTACCAGAAGCTCATCATTTTTGAAGGATAAGATGCCTCTCGAGCAAAAGCACAAGTCTACAGTTAACAGTGATCCCAACCTTCATTTTGGTCTTCACCCTGATCTTGAACTAAGAACTCTAAGAGTTCTACAAAGTATAGACAAGTTCCTCTTCAAATCAAGCCACACTGACAATGCCAGCCAGATTAAAACTGGTGATGTAAGACACTCTCTTGATCAAATCCCTAACACCAGCAGCAAGTATATCCCTACTTGCCTAACCCCAAGCCACATCTTTGCTGATTTTAAGGGCAAGAAAATAAGCAATACAAAGTCAGTGGTCGTGTCAGCCTGTACCTCACAAGAACTGCAAACAGAATCATCTGGATTCAAAAGTATTGACTCTTTGCAAGCCATCAAACCAAATGTTGACCAAGATAAGCATAAAACAACTTTACACACCAATTTAAGTCATGAACCACGTTCATACAGTCAGCGTCCTGTCATGGCTGTGAAACCATCTAAGAGCGATGAAGTTCAAGGAGATTGCATCTTGAAAGACAGAGAAAGTGAAAACTCTGTCATGTCAATTTTTTCTAAAGATAAACCGACTAAAAGCCCCGTAGTCCCATACACCACACCAGCTCCCATGCTCTTTAAGAAAAAGACAGAAAGTCTTGAGGGAAATTCTGAAGGACTTAATGACAACCAGCAAGAGGCCAGTGAGCTGTCTAACTCAGACCTATCTAAATTTGGTGTTCAAGATCCTTCGTACAAAGGAAGGGACATTCCCTCATCATTTCTCCCCATGCAGTCTTTTGAATATGCAAAAACGTCTTCTAAACTTGTTGATGAAAACCAAATTTTCTTGACAAAGAGTTTTGATGAGAAAATTGGGCAAATGGCTAAAGAGAGCATTGAGATGGATCAGAAAGACTGCCCAGGCGCATCAACTTCAGTTGTGGATTACAAAGATGATAGCACAATAGACGACAGTCTCTTCCTGGGACCTGAAAGCTCACTCACATGTACAGTCTATAACACTGGCCACGATAGATCTTATTCTTTTCTGGAGCAGCTTTCTCAGAGGTGCCTACAAGATGACCTCACTCGGGCATCAATGGAACAGGAGTGCCTTATCTTCTCACAACAAATGCAGCAGCTTTTGAAAAGGAGTAAGAGGGGACCCATCCACCAATTGGATGAACATGACAAATTTAATTTGTCTAGCTCTAGTCCTGTGACTGTGCACTTTTCCAGTCTAGAAGAGCAGGAAGATTCAGTTGATCACTTGGATGCACTGTCACTTGTAGGACAGAAAATTAAGGTAGACATGTCTGACACGAAAGATCTGGCAGACACAGCAGATGAAGGAAATGCTTTGCATCCTCAAAACTTATCCGAAGGAACAGGCAACCAAATGGAACATGCTGGAGTTTCTGGTCTGACTGCAGAATGTGCCAGACAGTACACGGCAATGATGAATGATGTTGTGAAAAGGGTCCCATCTAGACCTAAGCACTTCAGAATGGATCGAGGGTACTCAAAGACTGAACAAAGCAACCATTTTGACTTCTGTGGTCAAATGAAGAGAGAGATGGATGAGAGTTTTCGCAGTAGTCTGAATTCTGTTGTGAAGAAATCCTGTAAAACAAAGTACAGATTCTACATATTGGTGACGTCAGATGATGCTTTCTTTGAGGAAACCAAGGTAAGATAAGTTTTCAAGAAACTTCCAATAAAATATTTTTATTAGCTATGTACTATTCACAGTTCCTAAAATGGGCCAGTACTCACCAGTACTGAGCACCAGCGCTTCTGAATTTTGTTCATGAGTACCCTTACTTCTTGTACTGCCACCTCCTGGTGGGTCTAGATACGCACTCTTAATTGCACAGGCAGGGTTTAGCAGAATATATGTGTTTGGGGGGAAATGATGTCCATGTAACCTCTCTAGCTTAATGCTGAGAAAACGGGGCTGAAAATATCCCTATTAGAATCGATAAAAATGCCAAAAGGATAAGGGTTGAGGATCGTGTAAGGAAATTTTCAAATTGTGAATGTACAGATTATCCAACTTGGAATCCTTCAAAAATTTTACTTTCAGCTAAGTGTCAATGGTAGCTTGGAAGTTCAAGTGTATCGTATGTATCCAAATCTTGGACATCCATAGGTGGCACTGCTGTCTATCATTTGAGTATCAGATCTTAAATTTTGAATTTCAGGCAGGTGATCAATTATCAAGCATTCAGAAGGCAGATAAGACCATCATCAATTCGAATTATATCCTAAAAATCTACAAATGATGAGCCTGACCTTTAAAAACTTCAATAAACTCTTATTAATGACAGCCAGTGCTCTTCAGTGGAACATATTAGTGTACAAAAGTGTTCATGGAAGCTCTGTGGCCTTTGAGGGTTAGGGTTGTGTTGAATTAGGGTACTGGCACCTTTTTGGTCCAGTTCAGGCACTGCTTATTTATACCACTAGTTCTCAAACTATGGTTGTACTCAAGCTCCCACTAGTGGTATGCAGAGGAAAAAGTATATTTTTAAAAATGTAATACATTAATCTAGAAACACATAATACTAATACTACCAAAAGTTTAAACAAATTTGAATTAAAATACTATGGAATCACTTAAATGTAATTTAAAATATTTTTAAATATATTACATAATTACAAACGTGGTCACGTTCATGAATGTAGTGCGCGCATACATCCATGATGAGTTACGAGCTAAACTGTGATCCACCATGTAGAATAATGAATTTCACCGCTGTCTATCTGTATGATCAGTATGATCAATATGTTCCCACTGTAATATTTTTGTCAGCCAGCTGCAGTAAATCAAACAACATGTAAATGTACCAGCAAATATTACTAATGTCTGTTTTGATGCTGGTTTGATCCATACTATTCAATAATATGTAAGCTGTAGCGCAAGTTTGCTTACTTTGCCTTTCATTCAGCCTGCCAGGCAGCTGATGTTAATCACACATAGATACCAACGTCTCAAGTTGAACTTTTGACAGTAAATTAAAAACAGAAACACTGACATTATTTTAGACTGCAAAACAGGATAACAGAATGCTCTAATGCATGCACCTGCTTTCCTCTTTTATGAATAAACACAAAAGCAGTAGCCATAGTTAGGTTAACATATCACTGGAAGATCAGATCATATCAAAGTCCTGCTGAATTCAGGGGTATCATATATGATAGAAAGTCAAGACAAGGGACTTATTTTTTAATGTCAAAGCAGTGTAAGACTTGCTAAATAAATGGAAATGGCTTTTAAAGTTTGGGTAATTTCTCCTCCTCTCTAAAGGCACAGTTAGAGGCAGAGGGCCATTCTGCTGTACAACCATCTGACTTCTTCCTTGGTGATGATAGCTCTTCATCTCTACTCATAATCCTCAAGAATGAAGACATTGCGGAGCACATTTGTGAGGTAATTGATCAGCCTTTGAAAAAACAACAGGACTTTTGCAATAGATAATCACGTATTAATGACTGTTCTGTGTTATCTCAGGTCCCACATTTGCTCGAGCTGAAGAAGTCACCAAGTGTGCAGTTTGCTGGAATTGATGAACCAGATGATGTTGTGAATCTCACCCACCAGGAGCTCTTTATGAGGGGTGGTTTTATAATGTTCGACAGAGCAGCGCTGGAGTCCCTCAGCCTATGTATGTGCACTTTTAACTAAATACCCACTCTTTGTTATTTGATTGTTTTGCAGCTTATAATTGTTTAACTCATGATGCCAACTTTGTATGAATTTTCAAGGCAACATGAAAAAAATGGCAGAAATCTTGCAAGAGCTAAGCCGAACAGGGAAGTGGAAGTGGATGTTGCACTACAGAGACAGCCGTCGGCTGAAAGAAAATGCGAGGTAAGGGTCAACTTTGGAAAAAAACATTCTCACTTCCCTCTAAGGCAGGTAACAGGTGTTCTAAACAATACAGAACAGGTAACAGAACAAACATAGCAAAACAAATTTGGGCACAAAGAGGGAACTAAATACAATTGAAATAAGACAAATCAGTGAACTCAGAGAAAGAGAAAAAGGGTATAACGTTACTACATTACGCCTACAACTTACCGCTCCTTTAAATGAAGAAAAGTAGATGCTTAATTTTACACTTGTATTAGTGATTATCATCCATGAGTCCACTGCATCTCTAACTGACCTCCTGGCATCAGCCACCATGTTTTTTAAAATATATCCTATATTTGCCATAATTTAAATAAGACTGTGTGCACTTTATAAAAGCCTTTCTGTTAAGATCTTGCCTATCTGAACAATGTGTTTCTCCCCCCATATCCAGGTTGACTGCAGAGGCAAAAGAGAAGAAGCACTTCATAAACTGGTGTCAAGAAGTTGGAATATTGGAGGCCTTACCTTACCATGAGTGTGACCTCATGTCAAGAGATCAGCCTGACTATCTCACGTGTTTGGTCCGTTTGCAGGTCCAGAATATATCTGCCCGCTACCCTATTTTTATAACCGGTGAGACACTAAAGCACAAATACATTAATTTGACTTTTGCATGTGCAGTTGTGCTATTGTCGGTTATTCTGTAAAGGTTGTACTTATTGTACAGTGCAAAATTAATGACATGTTTGTTTTTATTCTTACAGATACTACAACAGACATTGCCTTTGGAACGAATGGAATTTTAACTATGAATTTCAACTCTTTCCTGACGTGTTCTCCAAGCGAAACATTTACAGCCTGAGCTGAAAACGTCAGATGGACAAAGTTGTGCTGATTCAAGTACACAGCTAACAGAAACTGGATGTGAGGAGAAACTTGTAATTCATCAGGAATGGTGATTTCAAAATTACTACATTTGATTATTTTTCTTTGGGACATCACTTTAGCTTCTTCTCAAGCAATAATTATTGATTTATGTTGTAAATTTGTAAACTAAGTTATCATTCAGTTAATAGTGTATTTAGGCAAGTCTATTGTATATACTGTATGCATTTTGCATCGTATTATAGTTTTATTGTAAATTGTATTGTAAACTTGTTAAAATGTGTATCATATGTGTATATTTGGCCTTTTTCATTACAATCCTGACTTTATATATTTGCAGTACAATCGTTATTAGTGTTTATTGATTCTTTGTGGTCACAAAAGACGGTTCGAAGATTTTTTTTTTTTTTTTCTTTAGTACAAATTGATTTTAGTAGTTTGCCCAAGCCTTGCTACAAAGCTAAATTAGGTTGTTTTCAAGCGGTGTGTATTTTACTTATTGATATATACTAATGTACACTGTTACGGTTACTGACAGTGAGTCTTAACTCTTGAGTGTTAAGTTGTAAGAGCACAACAATTTAACATTATCACTAAGTGCTAAATATGTATATTTTTCATGACTGTATGACAAAATGACTGAGAATAAAACGGTTTATTTTATTGTTTCGCTTCAAAAAAACCCCATCCATACTGGCTGAAAAAGCTGCACTGTTACCATTTCTACTCACTACATTATATATTCATTCACACAACAGTAAGGCCTGGGACCTTGTTTAAGATGGAAGGATGACCTGGTCTGCTCTTTAAATCGAACTGTTTCAAATAGCAAGTGAGTTTTCTTTATTAAACTGAAGAAAAAAGACTTGTAACTTTTTTTTTTGGCAAGGAAAATCAAGGTCAACTTTAAATCCCCTTATCATCTTAAACTACTCTCTACATAATGGTATTTCCTCTGCTATGGATTTGCAACAGCACTGTATTCCAGAAATTAAAACTGAGAGTGAATGAATGAAAACAATGTGAAATCTGCACAGCAATAGTTTTCTGTAAATCAAGTTAAATATCAATAACTCTGTGTGTGTGTGTGTGTGTGTGTGTGTGTGTGTGTGTAAAATGATGCATAAAATGTAAAAGTTAAGAACTTCCCTTAACCAGGAGAGGGCCTCACTGAGAACAACAATCTAACAAGGGTGAGCTGGATAAGACAGGTTACAAAACATTAAAAGGTCAGACTCACAATGAATTATCTTTTGAAGAGCAGATGTGATCAGAAATATAATATAACATGTATACAATAACAGTAAATATACTGGGACTAAACATAATATATGAAAACAGATATACAGGTTATGAAAGGATTTGAACTCTAACAAAACATTTATTACAGATCATACAAAATAATAATGAATACAGATCTTTCAGAAATGTTTTTACACACTTTACATAATTTTTGTTATCTTTGTTACATCATTTTGTTCAGCTCTAATGACTTGTATAATGAACCTTATAGTTGAGACTTTGTGAGACTTTGCTGAAGGTTTATTGATATTATTTTACACTGCTTGGTAATCTGCGACCACGGTGAGACACTGATTTAGATCAACTGACATTTTTAGCAACCCGGCAAGTTAATTGCCTTTCCAAATGCAATCATGTGTCCACATTCCTGCCTGCTTGATATCGAAAACAACACCACGGGAAATGAAACTGAACCCACTTTGTTGCCGTTCTTGATAAAAAAAAAAAAAAAAAAAGTTTAAAAAATGGGTTGGTTTAATTAAGATAAGCTTATCTTAAAGCACTGCGCGAAATTAATCCTCAAATAAAGTCTGTTTTACTTGAATAAAAACAGTTTTGACAGCTTCACCGCGACACACCGGAAGTGAACTTTGCACCGGTGAGTCCTGAATGTGAACTCTTCCTGAGTGAGTCGCTGTTAACGCTATTAAAGTACGTCCTCTCCCAGCCAGTGATAAATACACTGAACACATTACATATCCCACATGTGAACCCCTGCCGTCTGTGTACATTAGAGCTACATTAAAACCACTTTAACAAACGGAGCTGCTGCTGCGCGTCGTCGGGCGGTGATGACCCGCTCCAACACAACGGAGCTGTGTAGGCAGACGGCGTCTTCTGCGCATGTGCGATCCGGATTTCGGGGATGGGTCTATTCATGGACTCAAGATGGCGACTCTGGCGAAAGCGCCAATATATTTACTGAAGTAGATGTCCAAAATTAACCGCGGTAGCGGCTTTTCTCAAGCCCCTCGGGGGTTCCGTGAAACATGAAGACCGGGAGCATGTTTTGGAAGAGGAAGTGACCGGGATCGATACCGTAACAAAGTCAGCGAGATGTGCGAGAGCTATGCCCGCTCGCTGCTGCGTGTTTCGGTGGCGCAGATCTGCCAGGCTCTGGGCTGGGATGCGGTTCAGCTCACTGCGTGCGATCTGCTGTCCGATGTGCTGCATCGATATATCCAGCAGTTAGCCAGGGCCTGCCATCGGTACTCTGAGCTCTGTAAGTGCTTTGTTTAGTACCCCGATTACTTTTTTAACCCGTTAACCTGAAGTAGTCGATCACGTTGTTGTTGACTGGCTCTGTGGCTGGCGCCCCCTAGCAATGGTTGATGTGTCAAAAAAGTACAGTACAGAGCGAAGCTGCTTCCTTGTATTATCGTTATTGTGGCTATGATGCTTTCCAGCTGTGATCGTCACATCGTGAGTAGTAGATGTCACATGCTTTAGCACCAAAGTCTGGCATTGTCTGTGAAGAGATTCAGTCTATCTGGTACCTGTTGAGTACTACTTCTTGCTCCAGGTTGAGTGTCAACATCAATCAGAGAACCTCCTTGCATGTGCAGCACAATCACCAGCATGTAGTCAAAACTTTAGTTCCAACCCTAGCAGTGTAGTTTAGTGAATGAGAGGTGTGCAGAGTGTGTGTCGGGGTTTAATGTCTTGTTTTGATGCTTGTTTTAGATGGAAGAACGGATCCAGTCCTGGATGATGTCAGCCAGGCCTTCAGGCTGCTGGGGGTCAGTCTGAGCGAACTGGAGGACTACGTCCACAACCTGGAGCCCGTGCCCTTCGTCAATCAAACGCCGCTCTTTCCTGTTAGCAAAAACAATGTCCTGCAGTTTCCCCAGCCTGGAGCCCGAGATGCAGAGGAAAGGAAGGATTACATTCCAGATTACCTGCCGCCCCTGGTCTCCTTACAAGAAGGTCAGTACATGTGATGACTATGTGCACATTTTAGTGTGTGTTAAGTGTTTTCCACAGGTAGAGAGTTTATTTTTTGCTGGACAACATGTTATCAACTAATCCAAAGTTGATGGAGTATACGTAATGCAGTCCAAAGCAACTCTGCAATTGATCCTATATTCTTAATGGCTTATTTTGTTGTTGTTTTCTTATATTTATATCAATGAGGGTGGACTAAATATCAGAAACACCTCTCGGCATAACAAATACAATTTAGTAGCAACACAAACTACATCCTACAAAATGATCATAAAGTTGAATCAACATAGCCGGAACATTATAACCTTCGTGAAAGTAAGATTGTATTAGACTCTGGTTTTAGCTTTAGCTAACTGAGTGTATACAACTTTATCTTATTAATGTGCCACCATACCTGTGTGTGCGTGTGCGTGTGTGCGTGTGTGTGTGTGTGTGTGTTTTAAAAGATGTGTTGTGGTTGTGAAAATCCTTGGGGATTCATTGAAAACAGAGCCTAACTATTTTTGTGTACCTTTTCTTTCTAGAAGAGGAAGAGGAGGAGGTCCTTGCTGACATGGGCACCTCAGCCGAAGCAATGCAGGTGGCACTGGAAGAGGATGAGGAAGAAATGGACGAAGATGAGACGGTCAACGATGAGAACCACCCACTGAAGAGGCACCTGGACAGTCCCGATGCAGCTATGGGCATGATGCCCACCTCCAAGAGACCACGCATGTACCCTGGCCTCAGCCCAGAATGGGGGGTTGAGCCCAGGGAGCCCCTCACCTCTCTCAACCCTCAACGTGTCCCCCCAGGCATGCTGCCTTCTCATGATAGCCTTGACCCCCTGTCACCTGAAACACCCTCTGGAGCCCTGCCTTCCTTCAGACCTCTGCCGGTAGTACCAAAACACTCTGATCAAAAGGGCCTCACCACTCCAGGAAGAAAGCCCAAGGTCTCATCCCCTGGCAGACAACGGACTAAGTCCCCTAAAGGGGTCATTCCTGTTCCAGTGGGTGGTAGTCCCATCCATTCTCCAAAACCGTCTAAGGAAAGGAAGAAATCCCCAGGAAGGACCAAGAGTCCTAAAAGCCCCAAGAGCCCAAAGATGGGTTCTGCCAAAGCATCCCAACCACAGAGCAAGACAGAAGCCTTGCATAAGCTGCCGCTGTCTACGCTGAGTGAGAGGATGGGCAAAGAGAACATCCATATGCGTCTAAATATAGAGGACAGGGAATTAGCTGAGGGCCCCTTCAAGAAACTAGAGCCTGATAATACAGCCATTGATGACTCCATTGATGCTGTGATTGCCAGAGCGTGTGCTGAGCGGGAGCCTGATCCTTTTGCTTTCTCCTCGGGCTCCGATTCGGACAGCAATGGGTTCTCCAGCCCCAGGAGGCTGACCATCATGGAGCCGTCTACACCTAAACTCCTGATTGGGGCCAGCAACTCTATAAAAGACACGTCTACACCACTTCACCCACAGGCACACCCAGGCTTAGGAAATTGGACTATGGATGACTCCATCAATGAGGTGATCCGAAAGGTCAACCAAGGGGGTCCATCCGCACCCCCGCCAAACCAAGGAGAATACGTGTCCTCGGGATCAGCCTCGCCACCTACTCCTGAACCTCTGCTCAAGGTGTTTGAGGAGAAGAACAAGATTGTGGCATCAGTGGACGTGAAGAAAAAGCTGAAGAAGGAGCTCAAAACCAAAATGAAGAAGAAGGAGAAAGACAAGCCGAAAGACAAGGACCGGGAAAAGGATAAGGGCAAGGTGAAAGAGAAGAACAAGGATAAGAACAGGGATAAAAACAAGGAGTTTTCCAAGGACGGCAAGATGACCTGGAAGGACTTTGGACTGAAGGATGACGAGCTCTTCGTTCAGCGAGACTTTACTCTGCCTGAGGGCTCCATCAAGATAAAAACCAGAGATGGAGATGGGCCTAAGAAAGAGAAGGAGAAACACAAAGACAAAAAGAAGGATAAAGAAAAAAGTAAAAAGGATAAAGATAAGAGGGACAAAGGTAAAGACCGGAGCAAGGAAGACAGGCAGAAACAGTCTGCCTTAGCCCCCTTCGCTCTGAGTGAAGTCCCACCACTGTTCAGCCCCTCTGCCTGCCTGCGCATACCCTCCATGCTTCCTCCTTTGGCCCCGATCCTCCAGGATAAGGACATAAAGAGCAAGGAGAAGGACAAGAAGAAAGACAAGAAGGAGAAGAAGAAAAAGAAAGATAAGGAGAAGGATAAGGAGCGAGAGAAGGCCAAAGAAAAGGAGAGGGAGAAAGAAGAGAAGAGGAAAGAAAAAGAGCGGGAAAAGGAAAAACGAGAAAAGGAGAAAGAAAAAGAGAGAATTCGACTGGAGAAGGTATTACCTTTTGGTTCGGTATGTCATTATGTGTCTGTGTTTGAGGCGTCACTGAAATTAACCTGGTTAC